CTTCTCAGCACCGCATCGAAGATAGTAGTTTAAGAATTTGTTAAATTTTTAAAATAATAAAAAATGTTATTTGTTTTATATTTAAAAAATAGAACTAAACAAAACGCTACACTTCATACTACATTACATAGGTAAAAAAATTGAATTTCATTTGTATTATTAGAATGATGTATAACACTTATTACATCTATACTATTTTCTTTACAGTATCGAACATATTCGAAAATATCAATACATTTACAAAAATAATTGAAATTGTATGACCGGGTATTTTTCAATACATCTATTTATTTACCTAATTCCTATTTACAATAAAACAAAGTATAAAACACCAAAACATTTCAAACATAAAATTGAACGAAGATAATTTATTTGTTAAAGTGATACGGAACAAGTTTTTTAATCACGAATTAATGAATTGAAAAATATTCAAATAAAGTAGAAGTTAAGTGGTGTGAAATATTTGAGAAAACTAAAGCCATAACATTGACATACAACTGACAAACAACAAATGTTGAATATCCTTTTAAAGCAATTACAATTGTAAAAATATACTTAAAAAAACTTTTATTGAAATATATTCTAATAACATTATGGTATGTTAAATTATGAAAATACTAGTAAATAAATAGTGCAGAACAAACTATTGTACGCCAATACAATATTTAAAACGATAATTAAATACATTTTTTGTAGCATAGCAACTATAAGTTTTTCTAAAAATATATTTTGAAACGTGTTTACAATATTAAATTGCTGTCTGAGATAGTCTAACCGTAATTCATAATAGATATTATCAAATTAAATATCATAAATGTTACATTTTTTTTTATATAAAAACACTAGATTATTTAAAATGCATAAACACAATTTATTTTTTCTATACTATCTAACCAACAAATCTAAGTGTAAAACAACTTTTTTAATTGTACAATAGGTACCACATATCAATATATTTTCAAAAGTTTTAATAATATTTATTATTTAGAAATATTGTTAAACTATACCAAATAAATAAATAAATATTATATTATACGTATAATTTACGACAGAAAATAAAATATCAACAACACAAATTATTCAAAAATATATTTTAAGTGTGATAAGTTAACCAACATGAAGTGGAAAACGGGGTCAACAGGTGTTCATTTTATTTTTGAAATCTTTAAACGGACAACGTCTCTTTGGTTTTTTTACCCACGAAGAAATCCTATTTAATACTTTCAGTTTATTCGCGTTTCTTTCCTTTGTATCAGCTTTATTGTCCATAGATTCAGAAAATTCTACTTCCACTGTTCGAAATGAACGAATCATTTTTATGGTAGTGCGACTTCCGATTAAGACATAAACCTTTGAGATGAAATTTTCCGCCACATTCAGCACATCATCTATTGATTTATTTGTGGACTGCATTGGTGTTGTATCGGGAAACCCAAAAGAGCGTGAAAATGGGTGGACCGTTCGTTCAATGGAGTAAATAATATTAGTTTGTTTAGAATACGTATCGGACAAGTACACTGTGTTAAAAAAAATGGTAAAAGGATCCGAAATACATGTCTACGTTTAGCCAGATGTCGTCCATAAAATGTTTTCAAATATCGGTACTGTATGTGTTGGCATACTGCTTAGCACTGTCTACGTCCGTTTCCATCATCTCGTCGAGAAAACCTACATACGTCCACGTTATTCGCAGTATAATTATTTCCATCGTCTTAAATACCGTGTGTTGGTAAAATTTCAGACGTCGCATTCCTTTCAGCCCGTCATCGAGTACTTGGTTATACTTTTCCACAATGGAGGGCCTCGCGGTTGCCATAAAGACGGGATCGTCTTTTTCTACGAGAAAGCCGTTAATCAAACATCGGAAACTGTCAATCCCGTGAAAATATAAAACGCTTTTGGTAAACGTGTCGTCAATGCTTCTTACCATTCCCATTGCAACGTTTTCGTTGAACACATTCCGCATATTCCTTATTTTCTTCGATCACTTCCAACACGGTCGCCGTGTCGTCTCTAATGTTCCGTATACCTTTTATGCGTGCACTATGGGTGCTGGTAATTACTTCATATTAAAATCGTTGGAACGGCTGCAATGTGCTGTTTTTACACGTGTATCTATGTGCTTGGCCACGTAGATTTGTGCATCAGCTGGTTCGGTTTGAAAATATAACTGCCGTTGGCCGTGTCTTAGCAAATAGTTCTTCCGTCAGGTGCAAATGCATCTGAGCGCCGAAAAGACACCCACATTTTAGACCCAAGTACTTTTGTAATACTACAGCTGTTGTCGAGATTGGTTTCGTCTTTTTCTAGTTCCTCTCGGTCGTAATGGTATGTCTTCAGGTATCCGGTTTTCAATGGCTGCACTCTTAAACATTTATCAATGGGGTCTTCCACAGTTTCTTCACTTTGCGGCGGCGCCCCGTCCAATGTATTCATCAACTGTGACACGAAACAAAAAAATGAACTTCCACGATCGCACTGAAGCCATAGTGTTTTACCAATTCGGTTGCTTTGAACTAGAAAAACGAACTGTGTTCGGTTTTTTTCAGTTTCAGCTTTAGTTTAACACGTTGTTTGTTGTTTACCTCAAGTATTATGCAAAATGTTTTTTTTTGTTCTGTAGTTTGTTTAAGATTATTTATTACAGACGCTCATTTATTTTTGAGCTTAAACAGTTGTATCTATTACCTATTATATTTAGGAAAATTAAAAAAAGGGGATTCCGATGGTCTATATGGAGAAAAGAGAGAACTTTAGTTTAGATGGTTCAATGTGGTGTAACAAAAGAAAAGAAGCAAAGGCCTCTTTTTAAATTGATAATTTTAATCACAAAGTTCAATCATTATTTTTATTTAAATATTAGCCATAAACATGCGTGCTAAAATTATAAAACAGTGGACATTAATTATTTGGGATTGAGTATATTTCAACTTAAATGTATCAATTTGAATTCATGTAATAATGTGATATTTTAAAATACAGTAATTAAACTTGTGTGGTGTTGAATGTTTATTCAACACCGGATTCAGTCGTGCTTAACTATGGTTCATCACGTTCATACGAGTTGAAGACCAGCGACTGTTGAAGTGTCATGACCGATCTAATACACTTATAGTTTACTCCTAGCAATATATTTTCTAAGTATTTAACAAATATTTCAGCGCATTTAATACTAAATGATGTATTGAGTTTGAACTGAATACCGTTGGCCTTTGAAAAGTTGGTAAGTTCAAGCTCGGATTCATTAACGTTATTGCTGCCAAATGATGGAGTCCAGTTGAAATCCACCTTATCTTGTAAAAAGCTGGGTATTTGGTTTAACGAATCGGTTACTTGCAGTTTTAGATCAGCGATTTTCTCATTGGACAGTTCCCATGTTGTTTTAAATTTACCCATCACGCCAAAGTACCAATTAGGATATTTTCCATCTATTTCTAAGAAACTCGAGTATTTTTCTAGATGATTATTGAACAAATTTTTTTTCGATGATCGACTGCTCTGCGGTAATGTCTCCAAATAATTCAAATGTTGAATGCATAACTGTAACATAATTACATTTAACAAAGTGTCGAAACATGTATGGAATTTGTAAAGAGACACCACGTACTGTTGTAGCGAAGGCATACGACTTTTGACTAAATTCATATTGGCTATCATGTACATTACCAAATAGTATCCGTTGTCTATCTTAACAAATCTCGAGGTCAAGGCGTTCATAATGCCATCGTCTTCGACAACATTGTTCAAATACAGTCGCTCCAAATCAAAGTGCTCCTCGTTTATTAAAACCGAACTGATCTCCAAGTTCTCCTTCACTTGTATGTAGTCTTGCTTTAGCTTTTCGAATACACCGTCCCAATTGGGCGTGATTCGTTCTAAATCCACCAGGTAGAATTTAAAGTCGTATCTCATGTCCATACTTTTGTCATACATAGTGCAGCCGTCATCATCCGACAGTAACTTTTTCGTGAGCTTGACCATTCTGTGGTGCATTTCATGTAAAATTTCGTCGTTCGATTCTCTGTCCGCTACGGTTATTATGTTCGTACTTATCAGCTTCGTGTAAAAATAAAACAACCAAAAAACATCCGTGTACGAATCTAGAATATCCGCATGGAATACGTGCAGTAGCATTTTTTGAGCCCAAGTGAGTAATACTATCTTTATCTACGCATATTTCTCAACCGTGTTTCCCTCTCCCCCCTCCTAATTTTTAAACTTTAATAACTTTAAAAATAATTATCTAAAACTGGTTATCGACCAGTCAACATTTTCAGTAAATTATTTTTCAACTAAAAATAGTGAATAAAATATACACGTTATTACATAAAGCAATTTGTTCACACTAAAAATGGCCAGGTTTATATTGAACTATAAGATTTATTTTTTAAAATACATGTTTGCTTAAAAAGTATGTTTTTTGTAAATTCTACGGTGAATCACAAAAACATTTTGTTCGATGCGAAGCGAGCAGAGAATGGTTTGGTTTTACAAACAAGTGTTTTTTTTTAATATAATGGCATTATATACAAATGTATAGGATTTTACCAAAACTTTAGTACATTCTATACATTTCTATGAATTATCAAATATATGACCAAAGACTGTATGAAAATAGTCTGTGATATGACGGTGTTATCATCACCTAACCTAACATCTTAGTACGTATCATGGAAAGTGACGTACCATTTTTACTTACTATGAAATCGGTACACAAAATGAAATGTACAAAAAATTTCCCAGATGGGTTTTTTTTCATGTAAAATGTTGACACGTTTTAAACTTTGCAATAAATAAAAAAAAATTAGCAATGGTATTAAAATGAATTCGTTTTTATTATTAGAATGGTCAATTACTTGAACAATACAAATATATTTTAATGTTTTTTATTATTGATGAAACGAAAGTGAAAAAGTTAAAACTAACTTGACTATTAATAGCATCCATCATAGGTGCATTCCAAACTGCGTTTAATTCCTTTTAGTGTACCGTCGAGGAATTCAACCAAGGGCAAGGGTATGATCAAAGTCCCGGTCGTTCTTTAACTGAGCATCCACCATTTTAGATAATTCAATACCTCCGGCATACTGATACACAAACTCATAAAGAGGGCATTCGTTTTGGTCATGTGCCAATTTCACATCCGATAAGCCATTGCCAAGGATCTTCTCGGCGGTAACCGCTTCGTGTTGTTCAATAGATATGTTTATGGGTTTCAGATGCTTCCACTTGTTACAAGAACGGGTAAATGTTTCGATAACTGTTTTCAAACGGACGTCGACTTTGAAATCCGAAACAAACTTGCCGAGCTCTTTCGTTTCGACCGCCATGCTTAGCATAAAGTAAACGTCCCACATCCAAGCGAAGGCACGCTCGTTGGCAACTTTTAAAACTGAAAACATTTTGGCAATATATACTTGAAATTGTTCGAAGATGTGCACGGCTTCGATAATACCATACAAGTTCATCGCTTCAGTTGGAATGTGATCGTTGCAAGCATTTGTCATTACTTTGTTTAGGTATTCAAACATCGCTTGTACGATTCCTCCATACACGCATTTCAATTCTTTAATTTTTCGCAAGTAAGCCGCTTGACTCCTTTTGGATTTCGTTTGGCCGCCGGACAACTGATCGATTTTAACTTGGGTGAGTGGGGGAGTCGATAGAGATAGGCTATTCAAAAATTGTAACCATCTTTTGTCGTGAACGACAATACCACTAAAACTGTCCTACAAAAACAAACGAACGCGAAAAAGATTAAACATTAGCAATTTTGTAGACGTGTGTAATTGAGTTTTTCTAAGTGAGACACGATGTTGGCAATTCTCTCAATTTATATTACAAAATCTTGTTTAAAAATTATCAGTTATTATCGTTACTTTGACAAACGATGTAAGACTTACCTTCGATGTTTCACAATCAATTTCATTTGGAATTAAACATAAACAAATCATCAAGTACGGATAAAGAAACATTTTGAAAAGAGGATTCTGAAAAGATGAATAATTATAGTGTTTCCATTTTAAACTATAATGTAATACTGCGACAAAAATGTATGTCAACGTAAAACAAACATGTTAAGTTCACAGTACATTACATAGTTACATACGTTTATAGTGAACATTGAAATATACGGAGTGCTTTATGTATTTTTCTTAACAGTTTTTATTTACTAATAAAAACAATATCTTCTCGGCACAACATCAACACTAATAGTTTCAAACGAGCACAATTTGTAAAACAATACAAACTTTAATATTTTGTTTTATATTTAAAAAGAGCAATTTTATTAAAACATAAATTTTGAATCTAAATATGTATTATTGGAGTACTATTGGCACTTATTTCCTTTATACCATTTTCATTAAAAAAACATTGGACAATTTTGAAATATTCGTTTTACTACGTTATTATAAGTATGCAGGTGTTGTTATCAAGAAAAACGTCTTCTTCGTGTTTGTCAATAGTAATGACGTATTTCTATGCGAAACCGAAAAAAACAATGTCAAATAATAGCGCCATTACTATCAGGACTGAAGTCACCGTATGTCCACAATGTATCTAGGTCAAATAAATACCACACGTATAACATTTTGTCTAAAGAATATTCCATACAAATTCGGAACTAGTTTAACACTTTTTAAATAAGATTTGGAGTGCCGTAATTTAAGTTGAATAATATGAAAATTTTGTTTGAGCGTGTTTCTCGTTTTTGAAGGGAAAGCTGTGAACTTTTTGGCCGAATAAAGTAGCTTTTAGGTACGATTTCTGATTTACAGCTGGTTACTACAAGAAGAAATCGGTTCAGCGGTTTAGAAAACTTTGTAGGTCGAGCCACAAAAAAGAAACAAATTAATAAAAACATACTTTCTTAGCTCTCCGCGTCCAAGCTAAAAACTAGACAAATTAAAAAAAAATTAATAATAACAAAAGAATATTTATGCCACTAATTAATAAAAAAAATGCCAACGGCACGTAGTGTTCCCAAGCGGTCACCCATCCAAGTACTAACTACGCCCGACGTTGCTTAACTTCAGTGATCGGACGAGAACTGGTGTATTCAACGTGGTATGGTCGTTGGCGTTTCATTTAGTTTATTTTACTTATTTAAACACAAATATTCTTTCTTTTAATGACAATATTATTTAAATAATTTGTATTATTCATAGCTTACTGCAATTAACCTAATTCATAAAACGCAACAAAAAAAATGTATACATTACAAACTAAATCACATCATTTAAGTATTATTATATTAAACACGTATACCTATTATAAATATAAATTGTATATAATATAAATGTTTAATACATTATTCATCGATAAATGGTCGTACTGATGTTAAACACTGTATTGATGTGAAAATATTGAATTTTGGCCATCATGAGACAATTGCAAAATGTACAACATTACCAAGATACAAGTACAAATTACTAATTAGTATCGTTAAAAAATAAATAATGTTAGTATGTGGTTGCTATGGAACCAAGAAAATACAATTAAAATTTGACAATTATTTCGAACGATTAATTCTAAAATGTGACACAACTCAAGAGTAAAACTAAGAGTAAATAAATATAACTTCCCAAAACAATTTTCAAACTGAATTTTAACTTTTTTTTTTTCAATACTTGGAATTTTATCATTTGTTTCCACTTTAATAAACACAGTGACCCATACACTGTATGTTATAATGTATTATGGAAATTTTAAAAACTGAATTTTTAAAATTTAAAACGGGTACTAAGACCATTTTGCATTTTGACCGCGACATACATACATTGTGAGTGATCATTATCAAAATGTTAATTTGATTTTAAATAAAATGTTGGTGGCTAAGGTGCCGCTTTTAAATAAATATGCCATGACTATTTTAAAATATATATTGTAAAATTTATATATTGGTTGCCACGGTGTATACTTTTGAAATTTGACATTTATCAAAATTATTTTAATGTTAATTAAAATTTTGAAATTTTAAACTATAGGTACGTCATGGCATCCAAAATATAAAAATATAGCCATAAGTAGCATCGAAAATTAATTAATTACGTAGCTGTTAATATCAAATGCCAACACAAGTAGTGTCTTGTGTCATTCGCCCAATTATTAACCAGCTACCGCATACAAATTAAATTTTCTAAAGTGGCTGCACTGAAAATACCTACACTTGTCCAGTCAATCTTATATTTTAAAGTAAAATACATTGGACTTAGATTGTAAGTGTCTGTTTACCGTGTGTAACATAATATGACCTAATCTCATATTGAAACTTAACTTATACGAATAAAAATCTTTACTTGTTTACCCTTAGTTTATTATCAATAAAACGTAAAAGATTCAAAACATTTTATCGAATTGGCTAAACGTGTGGGCCGAAGCCATTATTGCGGGCCTTTTCTGTTGTAATTTAAATTCGTTTGATTTTACAAAGAACTGTTGTGCAGCTACGTGTGAGTGCTTTTCTCTATGTGCATTTAACAAAGACATTTTTGATAAACTCTAATTACCAATACAATCTAATAGAAATTAGTGTTGTACTCAGAACGGAAGCCAGTCAATTTCGGTAGAATTGAGCCATAAAAAATAGACAACACTCGAAATTATTAGCAAATCTATTTGCACACATGTGTGTAAAACGACAACAACAACATGAAACGAATAATATGTTACTTCTACAGTGCCTATAACATAATGTAGGTTAGATACATAACTAAATATTTTACATACATACACGATTTTAAAGCGCAAGTAATGAGTAACCGAAAGCTTCTACAATTTTTTGGCAGATAAAAATAATAATTATAATTAATCATAAAGACAATAACTTCTTAGCTCCGCATCGAAGCCTAATTGTCAAAAACTCAGTTAAATTTGTAAAATAACACAAATGCCAATTATATTTATAATTAAAAATGCAAACTAAATAAAACGTCAATTGCCATACTACTTTTCAAGGACTTTTTTTAAGCAATTAAAAAAACAACACATTTTAAATCTAAACACGCGTGTACTCAAACTACCAACTTACACACAACTTACATGTTGTACGTACTGTTAGGGAAATAACTCCTTTTTCATATACTTTGTTAATAGGAAAATGTTCAAATGAAAATCATAAATCAACAATTTCAGGCATACATTTTGTATCATGCTGAGTTTATATGTATATTGGTACACCATAAAACGGACTTATACTGAAACATATGAGCGATGACCATGTGCTTTTTTTAAATTAAAGCTAATGAGATTAGGTACCTAAGATTTAATAAATATATTATCTTAGTGATTAATATGTTGTTCTTTTCGTTTGTTGTTACCGATTATGTATCAATAAAAAAGGTTAGTTTTTCCCTTAAAGGAAAGACATTGGATCGTGAATGAGTTTTATAGTACTTGTAGGCTGCAAGACTGGAATATAAGACACATTCCTGTAAAATGATCTATTAATTCAATATAAATCATAACTTTTGTATCGCTTCAAGCTCGTTTCCTGGGAGAGGAGAGTAGGGGGAATAGAGAGTTTCTCACCCTATCCTCTCTTTTTCCCTCTAGCCTATTCCTGCTTTCTTCCCATCCACCCGCATCTGGATATCTCATCTCTCTACTTTAATCTCTTGAAGATGCGGTGAGTCATATCTTTTATTTTTTAAAAACTTCATTATTTCTGTGTAGTTTCATTGAAACTACATTATAAACCTACTATAAATTAAATTTGTTCTTTTGTTTGTAACGCTATTGTAGTTTATAATAAGGTAGAAGTTCGCAATATTTATCCTACGTGTTTTAAGGTGTTTTTTTAGTATGTATGTTTTGTTAAAGTTTAATTAGAATTAATTTAAAAGAAATACTATATCATGTTGGATTTGCCTGAGTACCCCCCCCCCCCCTCCTACTATTGCCTTGTCCCTCTTTACGGTCCTTATATCAGTCAGTTACCTAACCTAACCTGCCCATATTTTTAGTCGCAGATAACCTCATTACCCCCCTTTATAGTTTCCAGTAACATACAAATTCACTGCCCTAAATTAAAAATTAAAATGTATTACGTTGTATTATAAAAAAAACAGGGGCATACTGAGGATTGGGACGTCACAGGTCTACAAAAATTATTAAAAGTGAAAGTGATAAAATTACTTTTAAATACTGTACTGGATATTTGTATAATATTTTATTTTGTAAAAAGATAATTTTTGGAAATCTCTAGTAATCTTTAGAAATCTTTGGAAATCTGAATTCATAATAATATTATGATGTACTATTTCATAAACACATAATACAGCTTAACGGATGCATTTAGCTTAATGAATAGATTAATGAAACTAGTATAGTTATTATATCACTTATCAATGATATTATAAATATTTTTTTTTTTTTTTATTTACGGAAATAAAAATGACAGTTTATGTTAAGTGTTAAGTGTACATATTATGGGTTACAAGTAATGTGTACATATAAATAAGATAAAAAAAAAAAATTTAAAAAAAAATATATATATATATATATACAAATATTAAATAGCTATTTAGGTATTTAAACTTAAAGATAATATATAATAATAACATGATATAAATAAAACAGTTATATTGTGGTATCGTGGATTATAAATGTGGGTAGAGGAAATAGAAGAGAGAAAAATATGATAACAAAAAGCAGAGAAATAAAAGATAAGTAGATCAAATATTATACAAATTAAACAAGGTAGTATTAAATAAATCTAAGTCTTTATTTGAATTACCTGCAGACATAAGTATATTTGCAGGGGTATATAGCATATAGTTTGAGGAGGTAGAGGAAAGATAAAAAGTAGAATTATTTCTGGAATTAGATTGGTTTACTCTAAAATTTAAACGTTCGATTATTACAGGGCAGTATGACCGTAGAGAAGACGTAGACACAACCGGTAGGCACGACTGCTGATAGTGTATATTGAACTTGTTTGCAAGATCAAAAGAAATGATTTGAAAAAATGTTTATTTTAGGTTGATTTTATTGAGAATATTGTAATCTTGGGTTTGTTAAGCTTAAATGATGAACTGGAGCTTTATTACATATTTTTCTATATTATAAAAATTATACAACGTTAACGTTAAGATAAGTATTATACAAATCAAGTACAATGGAGACCAGCACAATGCAAAAAAGTTATAAAATACGAGCAAAGAAAAAATTCAGTGTCACTGGACACGCTTTTAATTAAAATATATTTATATTCTATTTGTATTATTTGCAAATAGTTTGTAAGACTTATAAATTATTTATATAGATATTTAAATATTATATATTAATAGCTTCGATGTGGAGCTGAGAAGGTATTATTTTTAGAATGATGTGTTTTTATTTTATATTATTTATTTAGTTTTGGTGTTTGGACACACGATATCTTTCAAACTGCTTAACTTGTTACTTCAAGAAGCAACTCTATAGATCAGAAATTTTAAAAGTTCACCCCTTCCCCTTCAAAATCGAGAAAAAACGCCCAAAAATGGAATACTCTTTGGGCATAGTATCACTGATAAATATTGATTAACCAATAAAACATTATAAATCGTTTCCCCTAGGAAGGGTGGAAACTTTTTATTTAAATCGCTTTTTCGTGTAAACTTTTAGGACTAAGGTCTGAAAATTAGTGATAATATAACAGACAACTTTGTTTCGTTCAAAAAAAAACCATAGAAGGCGTTGTATCGTTTGTACACTGTGCAGGTAAATATGCGCCACAGCGACTTAAATCATACAAATAATATAACATCTGTAAAACTATGAAACATTGTTTTTGTAAAACGCTACTGTTCTCATAATGGTATATCCTAAAAAGTCGACAAGCGACCAACAGGTGTTTTTCATAGCTAAAATCATAATAGGTATGTCGACCAGTTTAAAATTGTAAGTCACATACTGAAGACCTTTTTTAAACTTGTTGTTAAAGTATAATACAAAATATTCATAATGAATGCTACTAATTACTTAAAAATAGTTTTTACTTTTTTATCGATGTATTTACAAGCAGGTCAGTATAAAACAATACACACTTATGTAACTTAAGGGCCTCCACATCTACGTATCTATTATGTATAAGTTGTAAACCACTAATTCTAATATTAACCGTAATCTGAAACGTATGAGGTAAAAACTTATTGAAACGTTTTATCCATATCTTTCAATACAATATTAATTGTTCTTTTTAGATGCCAAATATAACCTAAAAGTAGGTGACATAGTTGGTGTTAATTTACCCAATAGTAAGTATATTACATTTATTTCAAATATTATATGTATATATATTATGTAGAATAACGGCTGAGCTACTATTGAAGTTTAATCTTAAAACTAAAATAAAACGAATTATAAATAAAACACTGCTAAAACCAGTGGGACAACGTATAAATTAAAAACGATTCATCTAATTTTTGATTTGGTAATTGTCAAATAAGGCTTTTCGAATATTATGTTATTCAATAAACATAAATTATTAAAAAATACATGTTTATTAATTATTAATAAAAGATTAGTTTTAGCCGTATTTTAACAACAAGAATTAAATACCTACTTTTATTTTTAATGTATTATTATGAAAACGTCATGACAATACAATGTATTCCAGCAATTGATATTTCAAAGCATTTTAGAAAAATTGTTTAACTTAATACATCGTCTGCCTGTCAAGTTTTGTTAGGTTTATAATTTTTATGTAATTTAGCTTCGATGAGGAACTGTAAAGTTTTGGTTTTACAATTTTCTGTTTTTTTTTTTAGTTTGTGTACGTCATACTATATTTTTTTTTATTGGACAGATTTTATTAAATTTCCACAAGTAAATTTCACAAATTCTATCTAGTTAGTCAAAGCATACAGTTTTTGTTAAATTAATCGGGTATACTAGATTTTCGAAACAAAAACACTAAACATCGGCATCTCAAATGTTTTCATGACCTAAATAATTTTCGTTTTTTATATTTTAACATTTAAGTAAATTATATCTAAAACTAAATTATTGATACCGCTCTATGATATTTGTGTTATTAAAAGTTACTGAGTATAAAATTAAATCAGAATGGAAACATTGATAATAATTAAACATGGGAAATATGGGACGTATTATCTATGACCTTCGGTTATTTTTTCAGTGGTTGTTCTTTTATTATTATATCTATATCTAATACATACATATATATACAGGGTGGTCCACGGGAATAGGGACAAAAATAGACGGGCTTTTCTCGACGTTGAATGGGAGTAGGAAGGTCTAGATAAGCTCATTCGATCCGTCAGATAATGCCGTTTAGTCATCACTATGGCGCAGTGTAGTGTTGTTCACCGTGTGTTTGCGTAAGACGCGTTTGTGAAAAACAATGAATCGTTAGCTAAAGTGCAGCGCGCATTCAGACTTCACTTCGGCGTCGGACGTCGCGGTGCTGTTCCTAATCGGAAAACAATGATGAGGTGGGTCGATGGTTTTCGAACAACGGGGACAGTTAATAAAAAAAAAACCAACTGGTCCTTCCCGTGGACCACTCTGTAATTCATTTATTTCGGACCACGCAGAAAATGGCTGCCGTTTTTTGTTATGTGATATAACCACGGATTATACAGAGAAATATGCTACATTCTTTTTCTCTGTTTTTTTAAATGTACAACAATATAAAAACTGAAACACAGTCTTATAATCAATAACGATAACACTTAACACCTCTTAAAGTTAAGTATTAATTTAACGCAAGTTTACAACATTAAAAATTTTAAAAAATATTATCCGTAAAGAAAGAAATGTATTTCAACAAGCACAGCATCATTCAGCACAGTAAGAAATAAACAAATTGGGTTACGGTTTAACATATAAGTTTTTTTTTATTCTAATGATTTATTATCATTACTTCCGTACAACTTGAATAGGAGTACAAGAAACTGGTGCAGAAAAATCCAGCAAAATGATATGCTGTTACACTTATATGAAGTGCCTAACTTCAGGCACAAACCACTAACATTTTCTTTTGGAACCCAGTATATTAAGATTTGGTAGAAATAAGCAAATAATTTAGATACCAGATCTCGAATCTATCTGATAAGCTAACCAAACTTAGTTGTCCTTATTGTTCCTCTATAAAATGTATACATTGTAGGAAGGTAGCATATTTCAAAATAATGTATATTATAGCTATCATAGTGAAAAGCCAATACATAAAAATAAAGATAGTAGACTCAACGTTCCTAAAAAATGCCACTCGAGAAAATACTTTAATGCTTATCTTTAGATGCTGGACCTAGCTTCAGTAATTTCTGACTGTTCTGGTTGAGACCTTTCTTGGTTTTTACCCTGCATACATTGTGTTGGATTTGTACTATGCTAATATTGGTTGAAGCGTTTGAATATTATGAGGATATCATTTTCAGATATAATAAATAGTTTTACTCATTCTGCTAACTTATTAGTGTACTCTACTTGGCTTCGATTGTGTACATAGGCGGAGATGGGGGGTGCTTGGGGGGCTTAGCACCCCCAAAATTATCAATAGCCCCCCCAATTATTTGATCACTTATCAAAGTAATAAATTCCTTAATTAATGGAGTAAAAACTAAAATTATTAATAAGAATAAATTATGAAAATTATTTTAGTTCCAAAACGGCAAAACATTATAACAATGTTTTTGATAATGTTATCATTTAATTTTAATTCAAGTGCTAAATAAAGTTATACATTTTTCAAAAAACGCAATAAATATTGATAAAATTCAAAAGGCTCTAACCCTAAATGTATTTCCCAGCTTATTCAAATTATTTCAAGTCGCCTTGTCTTTGCCAATTAGTTCAGCTACATGCGAACGCAGCTTTTCAGCTATGCGCAAAATTAAGACATGGTTACCTAACATGGTTGCAAGACAGGTTTAATAATTCATCCATATTATACATTGAAAACGATTTAAATATTGATGTAGAAAAAATTATTGATATATTTGGATCTAAGAATAGGTACATTGCCTTAAAATAATATGTATTTACTTAAATAATATACAAATATTATATTATAATTATTATGATTTTTATTTATACATTTGTAATGTTATATAGTATTATATATTAATAATTTAGGAGTGTAAATCCCTTGCTGGTCATTTTAGGTAGAAAAATGCTAGCCCCCCCAAAAAATTAATGAAATCTCCGCCTATGATTGTGTATGTTATTTTTAGCTATTAAAGTTTTTTGACTTTTAAAATTAAGCTTAAATAATATTTTTAAGATATACAAATGACTTCATAGAAAAAACTACAACACGAGTTAGAGACAACTAAGTATGATTTTAATTGATCAAAAAGAACCACTGTTTAAATACTATGTTACATTAACATGTTAAAATTAAACGAACTATAACTAATGAGTATGTAAAAATGTAATAAATCATTTAAAAACCAAATAAATTCAATTGGATCTTTAACTTTAAAGATTTGATTAATAATATAAAGCATTTATAATAAATGTAATAATTTCGAATATAATAATTAAAAACATAAACTTGCTGAATTCTGTACTCAATAAATATGCAATAAATAATTTAATACAGTCATATTTCTAAGTACACACAAGTGTACCTATTATAATTAGATAATATATTAAATACGATAACTTATGGTTATTTTTTTTTAGCGACCTCTACCTCAACAACTCAAAAGCCCAAAAGAAAATATGATTTGGTGAGGTTTGGTAAAGTGGACCTCTGATGTACCGATATAAGTTTCATAAAAAAAAATATACTTATTTAATATATGTGCTTTCTTACAGATGGTGTATCTCCGTATGGTGATCAACGTAATTATAAAATTTTTATATTTATGTATATAATAAAATATGTCAGTATAATATACAAACAATTAAAAAAAAACTATTAGTTATCATCGGTTAAATATTGAAACTAATTTGTATTGCTTCATCAATAGCCGATTCTGACATTTTTATTCGAAGAAGTACAAACAAAGTACTCAACACGGTTTTAAAAATAAACCTACGAATTATTTTATAATAAATTATTTGTTAATTTCGCTAAATGTATAATTCAAAATATTATATATTTAGTGAAGACAAGTAAACACTATTGTTATATTTCCAATAATATTTTGCAACTTGGTTGTTTATAATTTTTTATTTAGTTAACTTGTCTACCTAATCGTAGCACGATCAAAATAAATCATAAAAAAATACAACCTAATTAAACATATAATTTTAACGTTAGGTTCATTCTATTTAGTTGTACATCGTCATTTTAAAAAAATAGCTTATGATACATATAAACTCAATTATTGTTCTTCGTTATAGCTTTTTTTAAAAGAGGGTTTTTTTTTTACAGATATTGATAAGTATATTACTCATTAGTAAGTAATAATATTGTAATTAAATATTTAACTTATCATCTTAGTATTTGATTCAGGTTTTTTATTATAAGTCTGAACTCAAACAAATTTCAATTGATTTACATTTTAACAAGAAGTAGCTTTTATCGATTTGTTTTTGCATTAAATAATCAATTGTTTTCAGTGCTTCCGATTACAATAAGAAAGTGGCAAAGTATTTTGGTGAACACAGTAAGTTCGAACATAGATAAATTATGTTTTATTGATTGTTCCCATTAATGTTGTGATTTTAAATGTTTCCACCTTTATTTGAAGTATACAATCTGTAGTACTTCCAGGCATAATAAGAGTATAAGCTTAGATTTTTAACTGGGTTATAATAAAAGCCGAAGTGGAACCTTTTATAAAATTTGTTTTGCCTCTTCTTGATCGGTTTTGATAATATGTAAGTCATTAAATAGTGTGATTAGATATATTATACGACGGTGAATTCGTTATTTTTCTCAGGGTAATATTTTGTAAAGTCGGCATTTCCTTTAGATTCTTTAGAGAGGAAATTTTTCAATACAAACTATCATTTTTTTAGGTACTCCTGTAAAATCTAAAGACTTAATATCTGACCCAAATTATGGTAAGTATAACCAATTCATTTCAAATACTAAAAAAATATAAGTAGGCTAACCGGTTAACCGGTTGGTCTTGTTAATTATCATCTTGTACTCCTGTTTAAGCGTTTTATCCATTTATGTAACATTTTCTTTAAGTTTTCCTGGCTGTCTTCTATTATTGATATATCGTCTGCAAACCGCAACATTTATATTAATTTAAGTATTCACGGGAAAAAATACATAGTTGGTTCAACTAATATGTTTATAGTTAATATAGGATACCAACAATACATTTTTATTTATTTCAACTAAAAATGTATTGTGTCCATATATTAACTATAATTTTAGTTGGACCAACTATGTATTTTTTCTTCGTTGTGCGTATAAATTGAACTATAAATTAAAGTACTTTAACTTTTATAAATAAAACTAAAACGCATGTATTTCTTTAACTATTTAAACTAAGATACCATACTACCGAAAAGGTATTGTCAGATCGTTTTTTTTTAATAACCAGCAAAATTATTATCATCATAAAAAAAAAACTAAATTAAAAAGATTATATCAGAAAATTACCGTGACTTCCGTTAAGATGAACATACTGCCATATCTGACGAAAAGTACTTACACCAACCTCACCTCTCTCCTAAACATGGAAAAAGTATTTTTATTTGTAAATTATAGTACGAACTTAAGAACATATTTTATTTTTAGATAACACGCGTAGTTAAGGTTTTTGGTTACCTTTTTGTTTCTTGATACATAGTACCTACGTGACAATTTATTTTTAGTTTCAATTAATATTTTGTTCTGTAGAACTTTTTTGAACTTGTAATCCTTTAATCCTTTTTTTTTTAGCTGCGATCAATGATGGAAAGCGTAAACTATTCGTAGGTGACATAGTTTTTGTTAAAGTAACCAGTAATAGTAAGTATTAACAATTTATTTCAAAAATTCAAAAAAAATATCATAAGGAGAATAATGGCTGTACAACTATTGAAGTTTAATCTTAAAATTGCAATGAACCTTTAAATTTTACTAATAAGTAAGAAAGCACCTCTCTAAAAACAATACAAGGTTTATATTAATTTAATATTGTTAAAACGTTATAAAAACATAATACACCAGAAGTTATGAATTCAAAACATTTAACATATGTATATTTTATTATTAGTACATTTGTTTTTCTACTAAAATTGTGTCGATATTTAAAATTGGTGCTGTTATTGTAATATTATTCTTATACAATTTAAAATAACTTTTACCTATTTGCACTAAAATGAAATTTACTTTTACTCTGAATTGGGAAAATTATAGGCTCATAACGAATAAAAACTAAAACAAATCGGAATGTTATGTTTAAGACATAATATGTAATAAGTTATTTCTTATTTATGATTAGTGATTAATTGTTTAGTTACTATTTAGATTGTACAGCTTAATTGAAGAAAATCAATTCAGCTATATGTTAAGGATATGTTTTATGTTTTTGCTGTAATTAATCTGTTAGTATATTTTAGATTTAGATGAAGTATAATATTTCATTTTTTTAATGATTTTCTTAGTTCCCAAATTTCATATACGTTAATATAACCGTCGGTAAACAATAATTAATATTATGTATATAATATTAGTTTGATAAGAAGTTTTTTTTTATTTCAGTGACTCAATTAAAATATGATGTGGTAGAGAAAAGTAAAGAGCATCTATATTCGCTTCATAGATACATTATACTTATATAATACTTTTTTGTTTTCTTACAGGAGAATTTACTGCGTCTAGACGACTTAAAGGCAAGTATCACATTATTGTACTAAATTACATAATAAAATATGTCAATATCATACACAAAATTAAATTAAATCTAATAGTTATCTTTGGTTAAGTATTGTAATACTAATAACTAAATTGTATTACTTTACCTGAAGCTGATTCAGACAGTTTTATTCTAAAGAGTACAAACGAAATATATTAAGTACTGAATATGGTTTTCAAAATAGACCTAGAAAATATTTCATAGTAAATACTTCATTGTTAATATCGCTAAGTATGTATTTCAAAATATTAGATGTTTAGAACAAAACAATTAAACAATATTGTTATATTTGTTATATTAGATGTTTTTTAGTAGGTAGTTTATTTAATTAATTTGTCTACCTAATCATAGCACGGTATTGCGCAGAAACCAAAACGTATTACTCCTGTTTTTTGTTATCTGCTCAGGCACATGCGTTTTGTTCTCCATACAGTAGCTTTCTATTGTAAGACAGAGTATGTATAACTGCTGTCTGTTTGAACAAAGACATTTAACATTTTTCCTTAAAGATAGCTTTTAACTTTCATCAGTTCAAATACTTTAGCATATTTATCAACAACATAGTGACAGTTTTATATCGGCATAGGTGAAAATCGGGTTAACAATCTAGGGGGAGCTACATCCCTCATCAAATCTGTGTGAGCTAAACATAATGCATGGGGTCGGGGTCTGCCCTCTATACATATCATCACACATTTTTTTAACATAAATTATAACTTGTTTTACCTGTAACTTAAGCATAACAAAAAAAAACGATTTCATTGTAAACTACATACTTACAAGGCGATAAAACCAATTACACAGAATATTACATATAAAACCATAATTTAAATCTAAAAATTATTTTTCAAGTAAAGTTATTATAGATTATGTGCTATCTGTGGTAAAATGAATCATTACTTTTCAATTTTTCAAATGACAAAATAATAAAATTTTACTGATATTGATCAAGTCATTAAGGAATAATTTTGGAGAGGCTAAATTTTAGTCAAGGGGACTAAGCCCCCCTAACCCCCTCCATAGTTGTGCCACTGTTAGTATCCGTATTATTTACTTCTCTGACGGTAAAATCTATCGTACCGGTTAATCTTTTTGCCGTCGGTAAAGAGGTCTACATTGACATTAAGTATTATAAATCGAAGTTTTTTTTATTTTAGTGATTAAATTAGCATATGATGTGGTAACCAGAGGTAAAGAGCACCTATATTCGCTTTATAGATAAAATTATACTTACATAGATGATACATTTGTCTTTTTTTACAGAAGGAGTATCTCCGTTTGGAACTGAACGTAAGTATACAATATTATTATTGTACTAAATTAAATTTTAAAAAAATGTCAGTATCATGCACAAAAAAAAAAAAAAATAATAATAATCATGGGTTAAATCTGTAACAACTGTGAATAAGTGTGTAAGTCGAATTTAAATGTTTAGTAAAGACAAGTTAAACATATTAATATATTTATATAATTAGCTTGTAACTTAAATAAATCAGCTTCTGCAACATACAAACTCAATTCTTCATTATAGCTTCCTTAAATAAAGTGTATTTTTACAGCTATTTATAGATCTATTCGCTTTTAGTAAGTAATAATATTGTAACTAAATATTTCTTTTATCATCTATAGATTTGATTTAACTTTTTTTATTATTAGTCTGAACTCAAACAAATTTCAATTGATTTTCATTTAAAAAAAGAAGTAGCTTTTATCGATTTGTTTTTGCATTAAATAATCAATTGTTTTCAGTGATTCCGACTACAATACCAAAGTGGCAAAATATTTAGGAGAACATCGAAAGTTGAAGAATAAAGAGGTTTAATTGATTGTTTTGAACTATGTTGTAATTTTTAATTTTTTCCATTTATTTTAAAAACACAACTTGTACTTCCATAAAATAAAATGTATTTATTTATGTTTATAAATAAAATCTCAGATGGTTTTTTTCAAGCCGATATTATTTGTTGTTGTTTTTGCGATTTTTAACATCATCGCTTCTTGTAAATCACCCGATGGCCATAGCCAAACAAAACAGACCAATTTTAATGTCTATAATTGTTTAAAAAATTTGTCGTCAATGGAAGATGTATCAGCCGATTTAAAAAATAAACAAATGATGACTGTCGTGGGGTGTGGGGTTAGCGAAAGTACGGTACGTAGTATTTGTGCTGAAGCTAAAAAATCTGATCAAACAGAGGCTTCTAATAGAAATGTAGCTTTTGGTCTCCAGGAAGTCATATAAGCGTAGGAAGGTGGTAACCGATATTGATGACTTCAATGTGGACGTATTAAGAAGGGCTGCCATAAATTTTACGACAAAGGTATGTTAAAAAAAAGTTTAATAAATAATAATAATAATAAATAAATATATGGGCAAAAACGCCAAATATGAACGAACTTTTGAGCACGTTGTTATAAATCTACACGAATTGTGTCCAATGTTCACATCTAAAAATACAAATATCGACAGAAACATTGTACCTAATGACAATTTATTTATTTATTTATTTTAAGTATACACGCCAATCGGCTGTTTTAAGTTACATAGTTGACAAAATAATTAAACATACAATTAAACAAATGATAACAAATATAAATAGACATAACATAATAGACATAAAGATAATAATAATACAAATTTAATAACTGACAATCGACAAAGGTCACACTAGATTTGCCGATCTGAGCATTCTGTGCATTGGATGATTGAGGCTATGAGAAGTGGAATGAATAGGAGTATAAAAAGGAGTTGGATTTCGAGTAGTGTATGAAGGAACTTTAAATAAGACACGGGAGAGAAGATCAGGAGCATCAAAGGAATTATTGAGGAGAGCATTTATAAGTAGAGAGTCAGCATCATTGCGACGGAATGATAAAGATTGGATATTAAGGATACGGCTAATATGGGAGTAATCATGTTGCAATGGAGGTAATTTAAGCTTGTATGCAGCGTAAGACAAAAACTTATGCTGGACACGCTCAAGTCGCAATTGATCCTTAGCCAGATAAGGATGCCAAACAACAACCCCATATTCCAAAATGGATCGTACAAGAGCGAAATACAAAGTCCTAAGACAATTAATTGAATTAAAGAGCTTCGTATTACGCTTGAGGAAACCTAAGACTTTAAGGGCTCTACCGATTATGACATCGATATGGTGGTTAAAGGAAAGATTACATGAATAATAAATACCAAGATCTCTGATAATAGAAACTCGTTGCAATCGAGAGCCATTAAGTAGATATGGATAGTGTATAGGATTTCTGGATCTTGAGAAAGAAATCACACTGCACTTACTGATATTAAGGGAAAGACCTAAATGGGAAACCCAAATATTAAACTGATTAAGTTCCTCTTGTAAAAGAAGGCAGTCAGCACGGGTTTCAATTTTATAAAATATTTTTATATCGTCGGCATAGAGAAGGAATTGAGCTTTCTTAAGATATCTGGAGATAGAGTTCACAAAGAGGCAAAACAAAAGAGGACTTAAGAGTCCGCCTTGCGGCACCCCTGACGTGACAGTGACCAAATTAGAGGAAACACCATTTACCTTAACAAATTGTTTCCGGTCTGATAGGTAAGAGCGGAACCATGATAGGAGAGGATCTCCAATACCGATGCGGTCAAGTTCGTTGACAAGTAGGTTGTGAGGAACAGTGTCAAATGCTTTAGAGAAGTCAGTTAGGATGACATCTGCCTGAAGTCCTTTACAATCATAAATAAAGGAAGAGAATGACACACTACAAGTAATAGTACTCTTCCCAGACCGGAACCCATGCTGCTGTGGAATAAGAATGTTATTTAGTGCAGGCCTCACATAACTATAGATAATAGACTCAAATATTTTAGCGATGTGAGGTGATATAGATATAGGTCGATAATTGGTTACAAGGGATCAGAGGATTTAAGCACTGGAGTGACAGAGCAAATTTTCCAAACTAAAGGAAAAACACTTTCATCCATAGACTTTCTGAATAAAAGAAATAGAGGAAAGAATAAGGAGTAACAATTATGTGCTTAAAAATTAATCGTAAGTGAACTGAATACTTAATTCAATTTAAAGCTTTCCATACACATGGCCATTGTGTACTAAATGCTACCTTGACCAATACTTTCACATACGGATAATAAGATAATATAATAAAATAATGTACAAACGATTAAAAAATTTAATTTTTCGAAAAATTATTTAATATACAACATAAGTAGTTATGTTAAGTTAAGATTTTTATGTTCTGCATGCCTCTCATTAGCTAAGAAAGTTACCCAACCCGGAGTTTCTCCTCCGAGATATTTCTCCACATCGGCTTTGTACTCGGGAGCCCTGAAGAAAATCGCATAATTTATTAAAAATAATATCGAACAAATAATACTTGTCAAAATCTGAATCATAAATGAAATTTGACTATTCATTCGGATTAAAAAAATATGACATTAGTCGAAATCTCATCTATTCCTAATCTATAGGTAGATCATAAATCGTCTCTTAAATACATTATTGTTATATTATATCCCTTTATATACAATTAAACTTAGCTCGAGAATTATTTTAGAAAAATAAAATAAAAATATTGTATTATTAGAACATTAGTGTATTAACTCAAAAACTATGTTTCCAAATAAGACATGATAAAATAATTTAATTTCGTTCATTTTATCCGTAACAATTTGTGTATAACTCAAAATCGATAATTTTTTAGATACTACACTAATGTTCTGATATTGCGATATTATTACTTACCTAGAGCTATAATATACATAAATGTCTGTAAAAAAAAAAGAAACAACACTAAATAAACTAAATATTGAAAGCTAGTAACAACTAGAAAATTATAATGTTAATCGCTTGTTTTCACTAATCATATAGTGTTTTCAATATTACATTCAGTTAACTATTTACTTAAATCCAAAAATGTTATTGTTACCTTCACTTCCAAATGGTGATACGTCATCTGTATAAAATAATATCTGAGAAACAGTTCACCATACTCTACCATTCTACAGGGTGTTCCAGCATGAAAGGTAAGTAATAGGTGATTGGACATCTGGGGGACCCCCAAATAAGCCCCCCGTTTTTATTTTTTCGATAAGTCAAATTTTGAAGATTTCGACAGTTTTAAAAAAAAATAATGACTTTAAAAAAAAAAAAATTATTCCCCGTTATTCAGTGCAAAAAGCTCACCTTAAAAGAGGGGTCACATCATTTTCAGTCTTTTTCAGCCCCTAACTCAAAAAATGATAAGAGAAAAATGATTAGTGACCAGAAATAAATGATAAGTGATAAAAGATAAATGCTAAGACATAATTGATAAGAATAAAAGAAAAGAGATCATTGGTAAGAGATAAATTATGAGAGATTAGAAATGAATGATAAGAGATAGGTGCTAAATGATAAGAGTTTGGAGATAAAAAACTAGAAACAAGAGATAAGAAATAAATAATAAGATATTAGTGATAAGAGATAAATGATTAGAGACTAGAGGTAAGAAAAAATGATAAGAAAGAGAGAGTTAGGGGTTGAAAAAGACTGAAAATGATGTGACCCCTCTTTTAAGGTGAGCTTTTTGCACTGAATAACAGGGAATATATATTTTTTTTTTAAAGTCATTATTTTTTTACTTAACTGTCGAAATCTTCAATTTTTGACTTATCGAAAAAATAAAAACGGGGGGCTTATTTGGGGTCCCCCAGATGTCCAATCACCTATTACTTACCTTTCATGCTGGAACACCCTGTATATGTTATTCCACGTTCTGAAATAGAAAAACCATACATTTTAACACTTTATATTTTATATTTTTAGACTCCGTGTAGTTAGTAATATTTGTTTAAATTATAAAATGTTCACTTATATAGATATTTGAATCCAGAATAATTTTAGTATTTTGTGAACTATAAAAAAAAATCAAGGGTACGTATTATCAATGCGTGCATTACAAGTGAAACTTCAAAGATTGATGATATGCAACATTAGTAGAATTAACAAATATAAAAAAAATATATAATATATATCTATATTTTGCTTCATTTAATTATAAAAATAATATAATTTATTCGTGATAGGTAAAATATGTCACAAATACTATTTGTTTAATTGGGCTGCAAATACTGTAGTGTGCAAGCAACGCCTCTAAGAGATTTAAAACTATCAATGATTAAATACTAAATATTTTTCACGTATGACTATTGGTAATGTTATTGCTACGAATTCGATTAAACCCTAATATTTAAGATTAGTTTAATTATGATTATTGTTTCTATGCTAAAATATATATTAAAATGTAATAGTTAGGATAGTCTCGTCTGTTTTATTGGTCATAATTATTACTCATAAGTATTCCTCTTTCAATCATTGTGTTTATTTATGAGCTGATGTCTTCTTTGTTTATATATTACAGATTTTAATTTTTAATTTATTTTAAAATATTGAATTTAAAATTTATTTAAATTTTATGTATAAAGATAATAAATGTTTTATTTTAGTGTTATGATTGATATGCTACAGCCGTTATTCTACTTCTTATTTTTTTGGAGTACTTGAAATAAATATAGTTTACTTACTACCTGGAAGTATAGCACCGATTATGTTACCTACTCCTGTCGATTCAATTATATTCACACCTGGATCTGAAAAAATGGGGTTAAAAAATATAATTTTCCTACCTGTCAAGTAACTTTTTTACGGCATTTGAAAGGTTTTCAAAAATTGTTTTTTTTCTACACTCTACAGTTTACATTAAGCCAAATAATGAATAAATTAAAAATCTATTGTAGAATTCTCTTCAAAATGTGGATTGTGTAAAATGTAATATTTGTATCTGTTTTAGTAAAACATTTAAGAAAACCATTCGCCCAATAAGGTTGTAAACGAACGCTGTCAATACCCGCTAACAAAGTAACTATAGCAATAAAAAAAACTTATTACTGTTTTTCTACACTATAAATTTTGGTTCAATAATCTAAATAATTACAATTGTTAAAGTTTCATTAAAATACTTACAGTACATTGTAATTGTTGAGATGATAGAATTTCTTAGACAATTATCGACTTGATCCGGTTTTGAAATTAAATATTATTCATGGGTCTTATAGATGTGCCTTTATTTCGACCGAGAAATCCAAATTTAACCCTTTGTAGACTAACCGTCGATGGTGATAAAAATGTGATTTTTTAAAATTTTTTTGATGAATTTTAAAATTTTAAATTCGAAGTAATTTTTGATAGTTTAGAGGACCGAGACAAATAAGTCCCATTGGTCACTTAGGGGGTGGACTTAAAAGTCCCTATGGTCTGTTATAGTTTTATTATTCTATTATATTTAATGGAAAATTAGTAATTTAATTAAACACGATATTAATTTTAAAAATAATGACCATCTTAAATCTATGTAAACATTAAAATACATGTTTTAATTTAATAACAAAATTAACTACAAGGAAAAAATTATACCATTAAAAATTAAATGGTAAATTTTTGTGTACTGTAGATAGGAAATGGTGAAGGTGGGTATTATGTTCAAAAGTATAATACAGTGATTAATTTAAATTAAATATAAATTATATTTAAGTGAAAAATTAATTTTTGTACATAATACATAATAATCATTTTATTTATAATAAATGTTTATAAAACATCACTATAGACCATAGGGACGAATCCGTCCGTTGCGATAATCGTACACAAAAACCTATTTACAGAAAATAATAATAAACAATAGGTATATTCTGCTTCTCGAGAATATTGCGGAAATAACGATAATAAAACTGATTGGTTATCTATAGTGGTTCGCGCTGTAGCTATTTTTAAAAAAGGCCAATTTATTTTTTCGGGTAGAACAATATTAGTTATTTTTATAAAATGGATATATTAAACGCCAACTGTTGGTTTTACAGACAACTTGCTTGATGATTATCGATAGAGAATTATGTGACGAATAAGTCCCAATGGTCGAGTACATATTTTAATTTCCCTATGTTTAAATGGTTAAAATACATAGAGGACATAAAAGTCCCATTGGTCGACAAAGGTTTTTTTACAGTGTAACTTCGGTTTTTTTTTTATAAGATGTATGTTGTGCATACATTATTTCGACGCGGAGTTTAGACAATGGCCCTGATACAGCTATAATATAATTTGAATAAAACATTAACAATATTGAAATACTAAAGTTTGAATAACATATATAATATCATACCGGTCATATAATAATCAATTTAAAGTGATTAGTTAATCATTTCCAACAAAAGCAGTAATGGCAAACAAATCTACCTAATGCTAACTATATTTAATCTAAAACAATTACCAGACTTGAATTTATTAAACGATCGCGATTAAATTGATTTGACGGCTTATCGGTTTGAAAGTGTTTTAATCATTTTCAAAAGGTTCGATGCGAATCTGTGGATACTCGTAGTGTAACCGTGTACAGTCTAAATAAATACAGCTTAAACCAGTAGAGTATAAACTAAGTTCTAGTCTATACGGTATACCGATACAGTGTAAACTAAATACAGTTTAACAAAATCGCGTGGCTAATCGTACCAAATTTTGTCAAAATCTTGGACATATGCCCTTTTTAAACTCAGCGATACAACTATAGTGTATAGTTTTATTTCATATAATTATTGTATTCATATTGAATGTGCCCGAGCCGTCATGGCTAAGTTTAATCGTGAAGTGACTCTTATTAATATTATTTTACTGTTTGTTTTATAGATATAGAAGGATGGAGTGAGGATTGACTTACAACTTACCAGGGATAAATAATAACAAAGAAATGGCTACAAATGGCGATAGATGTAAGGGATAAGAACAATTGTATTTTTTTAATGATGCGAACTAAATATTTTGTATAAAATGGTAAAATGTATTAGGTATATGTTTGAATCTACACATAAGCAGCAAATGTTGTTGTGGTGATATTTTTGAGTAAAACTGTTTATTATGATATATATATATATAATATATATATATATTAAATTAGTTGACAGCTATTAGTGCAATATGAAATAATATACTAGTACAATGTGAACATATTATTACAATAAAATAAAAATAGTATAATATCATTTTAGAAGATATACCATTGTTTCGTGGTCTAAATTATATTAACAGCTCCTCGAGTAATCGGACTTAGTTGCCACCATAAGTCATTAATTTTTTTGAATCTTCTTAATGTAGTTCCATCATCCAGAATACAAGTATTATCATCGGGGTCACTCCAAAGCTGTCTTATGTATGATCTAGGAAATTGTGCACTTATGTATAATCCTATCAAACGACACAAACGCCATAAAAAAACATTAGGTACAGATCCACCTGAAAAATTAATTTTTTTTTTTAATTTGCTAATATTATTTTACTTGTTAATACTTTATAACGTTTTAGTATTAATTTCAACTCTAAAATAAGCTCTAAAAGCTGTTGACGTTTATCGAAAAAATGGTAATTACTTTCTTCTTCAACAACTTCAGAAGTATCGGTTCCTGTAACAAATACATCAAATCGATTTACAGTTATACAAATTTGGTATAATGTACATTTTATATAGTGTTAGTTATTACCATCACTGTAAAACTCATACAACTTCATATTAATATTTACCTAATACACCTCGTCTGATTGTATTTGCTATAGATGTTCCAGTAAGTCTTCTTTCTTCTATAAGGGTTGTCAAGTTTAAACGTCCCAAATCTACGAAAGAATAAATTGATTGAGTGTGTTGAGAAGAAATAATAAAAATCATTTTCGTGATTACCTTCGCTTATTTCATTAGCTTCAGGAATTGCAATATATGGAACAAATAAATCAAACATCAAAACTTTATACAGTGAGCAATAAGTGTTTAAATAAACGGTTCATTTAATATGGAGCATAAAAGGTTAAAAAAAAATTGAGGCGAAAAAGGAAAGGAACCTTATGTCGCGAACATCAAATTTTGTGTTATTGGTTATTTCAAATTCTGCACTAAATTCAAAACATTTTGAGAACAGAATAGTTCTCATACCTTGAAAATTGGCCATGTTATATTTGTTTTAATTTATTATCGAAAAATTGTTTTTGTTTTTTTTAGAAAAAACTCTTTATAATTTTAAAATGTTGATAACTTCTTATTTCACATATTTAAAAAATGAAACTTAACCAAAAACAGGTGCCCTTAACCAAACAACATAATATATTTTCACTAAAAATGTTTTCAACCCTGATCGATGTGTTGGCCTCTCCTGCGATTTAGATTATCGCGACAAGAGGTCCTTTTTCCCTTTCCGTCTCACTTATAATTAGTAAAAAGGCCTCCAGTTGACAGAAAAATAAATAATTTTGGCTTCAATTGATAAGCGTTATCAATTAACCTAACGGATAATTAACCTATACCGTATTTATTAAAATAATAATACTAAGCAAAGGGTGAAAACACTGCTTAGCTCACCACATAATACCCACCTGCACGATACGGCACGATCAGTTCAGGTCGGCAACACTGTTATCTCTCAGCGCAGTTAGTTTAGGTTAGGTTGGCAACAATGCTATCTTTTATATTAGTTAGATTAAGTTAGGTTGGGTTTAGTGATAACACAATACCAATCGAAGTAAAAATTAGCTCACTTTTCTGCTACATGGTGGCACTTCTGAAGAGTGTAGGGTGACTCAACTCCTACTCATATACTATAGCGTTTTTGAATTGAAATCGATTTTTTTATAGTTTTCTTTTGATTTTTTAAATTTTATACTTACTTAATGTATTTCTTACTTCTAGTTTTAGTTGCATCATAAACTGGTTATACTTGGGTCCTAATATTAAAAGCGAAATATATATAAATATTAAAGAAACTTATATTTTTTTATGATTGACACCAATATGTAATTTCTTTATAACGCAGGACACAACTTTCTTATTTGTTAAAATAAAGTCATAACAAAATAATAGAATATGCATGGTGTCCGTATAGTACAAACATGCTATTGTAATACAGAAAGTATATTATGTTAGTAGTCATCACTAATTAGGATAATAGTTGTTAAAAATTAAAATTAGTTGTATCCTTGTTATATTGTAGTAAACTATTCTTATTAAATACCTTATAAAAAATATATATACTCGCGTATTATATATATATTAATGGTTCAAAACCCATACAACTTCTTAAAAATATTTACCTAATTTACGTCTGAAAATATTTTTTAAAGCTGTTTTAACACGACGTCTTCTATGTTCTGCAAGGGTTGTCAAATTTAAGCCTTCAGAATCTACGAAAATAATTATTAAATGACTGTGTTGAAAAAAAAACATTTCAGTGGGTCGTGATACATAATTGCATTACATTTCAGAGAATTCTGATATATTTATAGTTTTTTGTACAACCAGTCATTAGTGTTAATACCCAACGAATGTATTCTTTCTATACTTTAAATCCCAAATAATTTATTATACATTAACATTGTAGTCAACTTAAGGCTTATGGGGAGCAAATATATTTAGGGTGACTGGCAAAGTCCTATCCCCACCTCCACGTGGTGCCGGTTGATAACGACCCTTAAATGGGTTGACTAACGGGGAAGGCGACAAAACGGCTTACCTTAATTGGCTGGCAGGTCCGCTTTTATTCAATAAAAAACTTACGAGTATCCACACTACAACCGGATACATAGGCACATGTATATGTCTTTATGTTCAAGTATCAGACCCTAGAACTTTTTGGTACTTTTCTTATCTATAATCTCTAATCTCTTACTTCATATCTCTTATCTATAATATCTATAATATTTATAATGATGAGTACAAATAAAGAAGAATAAGCTACAGGGGCCCTCCTATCGGGAAGGGTCGGACCCCAAAGAACGGCAGTTGGGAGTGGCTCGCCGCAGAGGTTGTCATCAACAAGTCAAATTGGAATGCGCGATGGGAACTTGGAAACCGGACATGTGGTTGAAAACGAAGAAGGGATTAACTATTTGGATATTGAAGAGGATTGGTATAGAGATAAAGTGGAGTTTGAACAAAAGCTTAGGGATAAAATTGGAAATCTAGAAACACAGATGGGAAAATGAATAAACACGCGGTGGAAGTCGTTGTCGAACAGTTGCTTGAGTCATTCAGCGATTATGATAACTTCTATGGAATGGGCATGCTCCTCAAATAGACGTTCGAGAGTGTCAAATTAGAAGAAAGGTTAACACATAACAAGAGCAAAAATGGCAGCATAGAAGAAGATGAGAGCTTTAGGATGCCTCACAAAGAGGCAACCCCAGGCTTAGAAAACCCAGAAAACGATCGAAAGGTTTTGAATCCCTGCTATCCGAAGGGACCTTCGGGGCCGTCAAAAGTCCATTGGAAGATGATGACGTGGCCATTGGGTGCGGTGTTCAACTAGCACTACAGCAGGTAGCCCACCTGTCCAGCAAAGTAGAAGCCGGCCATTCCGTTGGCGAAATAAGAGAGCACATTGCGGAATACGTTTCTGATCTGCTTAGAATGGTGACCAGAATCAGCGACTTGTGGGCCACAATATTGCTCAGCAACAACGGAGTGCACGAAGTGAAAAAAATTGAAGGAGAATTGCAAAACCGATTCAAGATGGCTGTAAGCAAATTGGATCAATACTGCAAAATATAAGCGAACGAATGGAGACGACAGTAGAGCCGATCGCAGGCACAAGTCAACCCACAAAAAAGGTGAACATACCAGCCACCATGAGTGAAACCCTATAAGGAAGAGGAAAAAACCCAACGTATGCAGAAATGGCCAAGAAACTCACGTCTAATATAGACCTCGGGACCTCGGTAGCATGATGCTTTCGGTTGGAAAAGGTGGGGTGGCTTCAGGCGGCATTCAAAAACTCAGAGTGGAAGTTGAAAAGCTACTAGGAGCAGAAGCAATGGTCAGGGATTCCGGGAGGCCTCTTAACTTGGAAATCGTCGGAATCAGCTGCCTGGACACTACCAGCGACGTGCTAGCAGGAATTTGCCGCGAAAACATTAAAGAAGAAGACGTTACTGTACGGAGACACGTTTCCTCGTACAACGGCGCACAAAGAGCTATTGTGACGGTGTCAGAAGCCATCGCAAAGTAGCTAACAAAAAGAAGTCGTGTTAAGGTCGGTTTCATATCCTGCAGAGTCAAATTCGTTTCCCTATTGAAAAGTGGTAAAAATTAGTTTATAAAAAAATAACGTTAAAAAAATTATCGTAAATGGTAACTATGTCTCACTCTCTTACTGTCACTCTCTCTCCCCTAAACAAATAGTTTATATTATTAAAACTATTGTTTGACATACAGCATTAAACAAATAAAATAAGCACATTTTAACTGTAATACAAGTTTTAAAGGCTAATAACGAGTATCCAAAAATTCGTATCCACCTTCGCGATATAGAGCATCAGAAATATCAATGTCTGTAACAAATACATCAAACATCAATCATTATGCAGAAAATAAAACCCGGTTAATTCATTTTATATTTTATAAACAACAGTCACACTAAAACTGAGATAAATTAGACCGAGGAATTTAAAGTCACATTAAGAAAACAAATTTTTGAAAAATGTTGACTTAAACTGCCACATTTATATAATTATTAATTTTTTAAATGTAATATTTACCTAATGTATCTTTTATTTCTTTTCGAATATTTAACTGGTATTGAATAGCGGAAACTAAAATTAAAAACATAATATATTTTAATCTATCTAAATATATTTTTTTTTTTATTGAAAACAATGTGTCCTATTAGTATATGACAATAGGTATATAATACGATTTTTCTCAAAATATTTATAAACAATGAATAGGCGTTAGATATTATAATATTAAACATGAAATATTCAAATATGGTTACCAGTCCTTGGGAAAAAGCGAGATAATGCTGAAATTAAAACAAAAAACTTTTGTTCGTAAAAATATCAAAACAACTTCGCGGAAACACTTCCATAATGTGCAATGAAAATTATTACCTGATCTATGGTCGGCAAGGTCCAATTTGTCTGAAATTAACATTATATAAATTATCGATAATGCATTTCTGTTATTATTACAGAAAGACGAAGCTCGTGGTAAAAAAAAATAAATGTGTATTAGTCACTCGGAAGAAATGTATTCCATCGGATATGAACGATTTTTCTTTAGGGAATTCAATAGAAATGAAACGTTGGAAATATCTTCATAAAATTCAACAAAAGCTATTATTTACCCGGTGCAGCGATCATCATATTGATTTCGGCTGAAATGGAAATTATAAAAATTAATGATAATAGATTTGATTTGCTATTAAAAATGTTCACGTATTATATTTGAGGCGCTCAGATGCCAAACCGATTAACTCCGCTTTTTTTCAAATTGCGAATAATAGTATGGTTGGTAACAAAAGTGTATAATTTTCAGTGGACTAGATAAATAACTCCATAGTTGAATTTTTTACCACTAGCGTGCGTTAAGTACATTGGAAATTGTACTTCCATACATTGTTTCAAATAACTTTAACTGCATGTCCTGAAAAATTAAATTTCATGGAGTTAATCAGTTTGGCTTCTGAGTGCCTCATTTATAAATTGGAAGAAGGTCAAAGTAGGTAAAAAAGAATGATAACATCAGTATTTTTCATAAAAAAATCCACTTGGATTTCGGAAAAAATGGAATATTTATATCATATTTATTGCATAAAAATTAATTTAAGTTGCAATTTTTATATAATTTTCAAACATTTTTTTTCTATTATTATAGTTTAATTTTTGTTTTAGTATCATTATAATAATTTGCTACCGAAGCTCCAGTAAGTATACCAATCATCAATTATTTTTTCAATTATATGCTCCAATCCATCTAGAACAAGCAGACAAAGTTTTATACAATACTAAAAGATCCAAATAAAATTAAAGCAGGTCCAAATTACTATATAAATCTTATAATAAATAGAATATTTTTAAACCATGTTGAACACTTAGGAGTAGCCATATATTTTACTTAATCTTTCGATTAGGTTATTACCTGATGTACTTTATTAAACTAATTATAGAAATTATTAATATAAATTTTATATTACATGCTAATTTACAAAGTACTTGATTAATAGGTACTTATAACAAAATACTTGTATAATGGCATATCAATATAATATGTCTTACTTGCTCTAGAATTATTTCCTACAGTTAAATCATTCTTAGCAAACGCTTGCTCGATGGCTGCATCTGTAACACATAATTCAAAAATATATATATAAAAACAGTAAATTTTAAAACTTTATAAAAACAAAAACAAATTACTGACTTGTAAGAAAAACAATCTTTTTATAAGTCACTGTAAAATTAAAAATGATTGAATTTGTTTTCAAATTTATAACTATTATCAAATAATTACCGTCATCATTTTCCGATACACTTACAAAGACAAATGTTAATAAAATACAGAAAAGTGTCATTTTTATCTACGAATAAAAATAAACATAAAATCAATTTATACTAGTCACAGCTGTCTCCGGTGCCGAGACAAGAAGGTTTTAGATTTGCGACCCTTTTTTTTACATGATATATAATATATATGTATATACATTTTGTTACTAGACAACAATATTTCCTATACCGTTAAACTGATTTTTTTATATATCAAGGAAGAAATCGAACTTCAAAAGTACTTTATTTGGCCCAATTGTAGTTAATTCACGCTAATGAAGATACACAAAAATAACAAATTGGTCTCTGTTAAATATTTATATCTTCTTCTTCTTCATGTAGCCTCACATGTTACAACAAATTCAAATTTGAAAAAAAAAAATTGTATACAATTTTCTTTTGCATGTTTTTAATTTTATTTTTGGCAATTATAAAAAAAATGCTAAAAATTAAATTGTACGCGTCTATTATGCAGAATTTAATTCCCTGCAAATTTAATTTTTTTCCTTGTAGTTTTTTAATTATTTGAGTTATGATGGAGAAAATCTATATGATTTTGCTGAATATTAATTTTTTAATTTTTTTTTTCTTTGGTTCGTATACACCGAGACGCTACTTTTGTGAGTAATTATGAAAAGGATTTCAAAAATGTCTTTTTTTCTACACTCTACAGGCCAAATAATTTATAAAAAAAATTATTCCTACACTTTACAACTTTTAGAAATTGATTGAATTACTTACAACCATCTTTGAGCTGATAGAATTTCTTAGACAATTATCGATTTGATTAGCTTTTAAAACTAAATATTCTTCATGGGTCTTCTATATGGGCCTTTATTTCGACCGAGAAATAGGTATTTTTAATAGGTTTTTGCAGTGTAACTTCGTTCATTTATTTGCACATCTGGTTAATTTTTTTTATGATTTATAATTTATGTTGTACATACATTAATTCGACGCAGAGTTTAGACAATGGCCCGGATATAGTCATAATATAATTTGAATAAAACATTAACGAAATTGAAATACTAAAGTTTGAATAACATACATAATATCATATCGATATAAAAATTAATTTAATGTGATTAGGTGATCATTTCCAGCAAAAGCAGTAATGGCTAACAAACCTACCTAGTGCTAATTATATTTGGTCTGAAGCAATTACCAGACTTGAATTATTAAACGATCCCGAATTAATTGATTTGACGGCTCATCGGTTTGGTTTGTAAGGGTTTTAATCATTTTCGAAAGGTTCGATGCGAATCTGTACATAGTATAACCTAGTGCAGTCTAAATATTTGCAGCTTAAACCAGTAGAGTATAAACTTAGTTCTGTCTATACCAATACAGTATAACTACATACAGTTTAAACCAGTACAGTTCAAACTAAGCATAGTGTAAACCAGTACAGCGCAAATTAGTAAAGTTTTTGCGGTTCCACCGGTAACGCTATAGGGTGATAATAAAGGGAAATAGTAGGTGTATATCTAACTTACAAGGAAGTATATTATATACTACAATAAACATAGTCAATAGTTGCAAAGATCTTAAATATCACACACGTTTTCATAGAAAGGTCGAAAAACCTGAAAATTATCTGAGTAAGCTTATTTTTCTTTACTAAATTGCAATTTTGTAGTTTCTTCTTGTTTAAAAAAAAAAAAAATGAGAAATTCGAACATTGACAATTTGATATAATATATTATTTTGTTGTTAGATCGACGTATTTTCTGATTAAAATTTAATACTTCATTTACGAATATGTTACGTATAACAGTTATAGTAACTATATTTTACGTTCCATTCATCAATGTAATGTTATAATTTTATATATTAGTCATGTATGGTTGCAGTAGCCATAATTAGTAACTTGTTTACAGATTATCATATAACTACTTTGGCTAGGACCAAAGCAGTTTATTACAGTTTTTCTACTTACACTTTGACTTGCAATAACTTCTGGGAAAATGGTTGAATAGAGTCGAGATTGATACGGAATATTTGAGGCGTCTCATTTTCAAAATTACAATAAACAATTTTTTTGATTTTTCACAACAGCAAAAAAACATATAAAAGGACCGGATAACACCGGATAACTTTTCCGAATCTAGCTATTAAAAAAATTAATTTTCATACATTTTAAACTTGCCAGTTTTTTCAAGCACCATCGAGTTATGATTTAGAGGTGTAACTATATTACCTTTAGTAGTTGTAACATATAATTTATGTTTATTGCAAGATCAATAACTTATTTTAAGAAACGTGTATTTGTTTCGGATATTATAAAATAAGTTATAAGTCACAGTAATAGAACAGTACCATAGTTTTATTAAACAAATACTACACATCAATACAACCAAAAGCATAGGTACCGTTGAAATGACAACGATTCAATGTAGAGTAAAAGCACAATGTAAAACTATTATGAAATTATTTTTCATTTTACTAATAAAATAACGATTATAATGATGAGATTATAACGACAATACGTTTTGTATTGTCAACGACAAGTACTAAACACGGTATTATACTCAATAATATAGTTGGGCTACCGCAAACTTGAATGGATTTTGTGACATCTTCAATCTAAGCCTCGTCCGAATCGTCGTATTGCTCTTCGTAATCTTTAAACCGCTTGAAATCTGACGAATTTTCCAGGTTGATCAACGATTGGATCACTCTGAAATCGATATTGACTAATATTTTTTTCACAAATGCGATCAGTGTTTCGGCGCACAGAATTGTCGGTAGAACTTTTTTATTCAGCGGGTTTCTTGAGGCATCGTGTCTGGGGTCGAGCTGGGGTCTTCATATTATCTTTGCGCGGTCGTCAATATCCGGGATTCAACAATATTGATCCTCCCCGACGACTCGACCTTGTGATTTTCGTAGGGGATCTTTAACATGTTAGAGATTTCCGTCAACGCGATGATCACCCCCATTTCCGTATGCCGGAAATGATTCTTTCCGAGACGTTATCGTCCACGGTCCCGGCAAATCCAGCATGTAGAAACCGTTATAGTCCCAGAGGCAAGTGCAAAAAATCACACCATTCGTCGTAGGGTCTATATTAGGGTCTATATTCCTGTGCAAAGTATCCCACCTGAGTTGGACAAACATAGTATTTCGGATTCGCAGCGACTCTGTCTACCTGTTCCATGCCGTTCGTCATGTTGACAAAGGCCAACACGATGACGATAACCAACGCGGTATACTTACAATGTCCAGCGAGAGCAAATGTATTTCTGAGGATTTCAAAACATTAATGAAAATAAAATATTTGTAATTTCGTTAATTGCTAATGCACGAGTTGCACGTGCAGAGCTACAAACGGAAGCACGGGATTTTACTGCGTACACTGTAAGTCGAAGTGGCAGATGTGAGAATATTTTTTTTATTTATTTAATGACACAAGCCGGTGTTTTCGAGTGTCGCAATACATATTATTTATAATAAAAACTAAACTTTTCTTTTTACTGCAGAAAAAACAAGTAAATATCCTGCAACCTATACCTATCTAAAAGTAGATTATTTTAGCCTGTCGGTATGAGATCACTACTGATAATTTTGTTGTTATAATTGCACGTTTAATATTGTTTTCCTATGTTTAAAAAACTCATTTGATGTTTTCACTATATTATACTTTTACTGTAGCAGTGCCTATTAAGACCTAAAACATTTATAAAATAAGGGGGCTGAAGAACCGTATCCTAAACCCCTCCCATTGTAAAAAAATATATATATATTCAAATGTTTATCTGTGTACATCTCTAGAATTTTTTTTTTTTTTTCTAAGAACACCAGAACTTAATTTTTTATATTGAATAAGTTTTGAGCGTTTATCAACTATTAACTACATTTTAAAATCTTCATAAAACATTCTATTAAAAAAAAATCAACATTTGATTACTCTCACTCATTATAACCTACCAACTTACAACCGTCAAACTGTAAATGTTCTCTTTTAATTTGGTTTTTTCTTAATAAGATAAAGTTTCACTACAGATTTTTAATACAATTATATATCACAATATAGCCATATTGTATAAAAATTAGTTTTTAAAATTACTCAAAACTTAACTATATGTTTATAGCTATGATCAATTTTGAAGGTATTTTCATAAGCTTTTAAATGCCAGCAGTAAAACTATTAAAAATGTACAAAGTTATGCATAATTTAAAAAAAACATAGCCCATCTTGTGTGTTATTTAAATTGATAATGAAGAATACCTTTGACTAGCCTAAAATAAATCGAAAAATATATACTTTTCAACCAGTCTAATTATAATAATAATATGTTCATGTGTGTCTTTACGTCAAGCGATAACTAGATATTTAATACTGTGATTTTTTTTCTGCGAGTTTCTGGAAAAGCAATAGGAATTTAATTTAACATTTTGGAAATCGAAAAAGAAATAATAAATACTATCACTTTGACTTAAAATAGGATTTGTAAATTTCGATAGTATTTAAAAAAAACATTTAAACAGCAACAATTGTGATAAAAATAATTAGCAATAGAGGAAAGGAAAACGGAATACACTAAGAAATTATCATTATTACAGTCACAAAAGCGTTGTCCGAGCTCATTCACAAAACTAAACCAAAAATCAGTGCAAACTAATCACAAAAACAATTTAGCCTGCTTGTATTATATTTGTTATCATCAGATTTAATTTTTTTTTATTTTAAAAATCTCTTTTATCGAAAAATACAATCTGTACATTTTTACATGCAATAAGTAGTTTTTTTTTTTAAAACTATTTACAATAATAATACATCACATGATGAGGAAACCCCACATTAGGGGCACATCGATATTTAAGTTATAATTAAATATACCAATGTAGCGAGTGAGGATGTAAAAGAAGATTGGCAAATCAAATTTAACCAGTACGACGATAATAAGAATAGTGAAATCTCTAAAAACATGTAGGTGCTAAATTTCTCAACGCGCTCAGTAAATAATATTATGTTTTGTAGTGCCAAGCTACGAAGGCCTGGGTATATATTTTTTATTTGTGTAGTCAGCCATAGCAGCTGTATCGCCACCTATTGTTCGACTGTTTATACAAATTTCACTATTTCCCCCAATTATTGTTACTCTAAGGAATTAATATCAATCGTTAGAAATTGCTCTAAATTTTCGGCAAAATATTCTTTGTTTAAAAAGTTAATCAAGTATATATTATGTTACCATTTAAGTTTAGAAAGTCGACGTTCAATGGATTTTTTAGACCCCTTAAGATATGTACTTCGTTATTTGGCTATATGGTCATCGGGAACCTACGAGTTGTATATATATATATATATATATATATATGCAGGGTGATTCATTAATGATAAGACCGTGTATATATGTATACAATGTTTAATAATTGTAAGAAATTTAGGTTTTAGTATAGTTTTTCACATTAGCGCGTGTGTTTCAAAAGTAATGCCGAGCTTAAAAGTATCTAAACAAAAATTTACAATTAAGATTGTTTTATTTGAAGTAGGTAGCATTGTTTGCCCTTGGCCTTGGCGTTAACTCGAAAACACATTTTTTTTTTTACTTAAGAAAAACACTTGTGTGATTTTTTCATGTGTGTTTTTATTTCCACTAGTTTACATGAAGTAATCGCTTATAAAAAAAAAAATGTTTACTCGTTCAAAATAATGTGCACCTAACGTCGACAAAAACAGGGTCTTTAGAACTTCATGGCCCATCTGACTTATTGGCGATTTTCTAAAATTATGAAAAAACCACTGATTGTCTATCAATTTTAGTTTTTATCATACACTGATATTTTAAGGTCATTGTAATTTTTCCCCTTCGAAAAGAGAATTTATGGAGGTGGAATTTTGGAATCTCTCATGTCAACTGTATAATATTAGTTTCGATATGCGTGTGAAGCTTTTTTTTTTTAGTGAAATAGAATTTGATTGAACTTTAAAATTTATAACATCAATCGATATAGCCTTTTGAAATTTCTTTAAAAAAATACGATTTCTACAATAATTGTAATGCATTTTAACGACTATTTCATAATTACCTACTTGGTCGATCTAAATGTAAATACAATTATTGTTCAATGCGCGAAGTGACATTGCGTTTGTTCTATTCATTTCAAACAATATACAGTTAAAAATTAAAATATACCAGCAATTGTTACTAGACTGATTTACTAGAATTCTGCAGCAGAGGAATCATAATAGGATGTGGTTTTAGTAGCATAACAAGCCAAAGATTTTTATATCTATCTAAATATGAATTTCAATGTTATATATTTTTGTTATTTATTTTGTCTTCTCAATTGTAACTTCCTCTCGTTTCCAGTTTTTGAAAATAATTTATGTTGTTTTTATTAAAATTACTCTGTGCCTTTTAATAGTGAAGTTTTTTTTTAACTTTTAAGCAATTAAACTAATCAAAAGCTTATATAATTTGTATATTATAGATTATTCAACTGTGTACTATAAACAATACTTAAAGAAATCAATATAATGTATACCTACATTGTATGTAATTAAGTTATTCGCCCATTTACATAAGTATAATGATTTTGTTACATAAACATATTAGAAATTCTAAGACTATACCTATATCATCTTTAATTGTTATTATGAAGATATATTATCATAGTTAATAAAATTAATCAAATGTAAATATCAGTCATGCTATGAAATGTATGTGAGCTGTTTTAGCGATAGCACTTTTCTCAAGTAGGTACATTATAAATGTTTAAAGTATTATACATTATTGTATAATACTTATAGTACTTATAGGCATAGAACTATTATAACATTGTATTTATGCTGGACATCGTCCGTGAAAATAAACAAATCGAATTGATTTGAAAAGATTCAACATAAAAAATTTAAATTAAAAATATGTACGAAATAAAAGTGGATGATAATAATAATAATAAAAAAGCATTAAAGTTGTGCCGGTTGCGGTACACAACAAAATAATGGTGTACAGTAACAAAAGCATAAAATGCAAAAAAAACGCCAACGGCATGTAGTGTTCCCAAGCGGTCACCCATCCAAGTTCTAACTACGCCCGACGTTGCTTAACTTCAGTGATCGGACGAGAATTGGTGTAATCAACGTGGTATGGTCGTTGGGGGGGGGGGGGAGAGTTTATTTTACTTATTTAAATAAAAAACTATAACTATAATTCTTCAATATTTTTTAAATAATAAACCATTATATGACATGGTGCATACAATTTAATTCAACAAAGGAAATAAATTTTGAAAAATTACAATTATTCTGAACGATTAATCCTAATAAAAACCGTCTGATTTTTGTAAATAATTTTGGTTGCTAGAGGTGGTATTAATTTTGAAAAATTCTAATACTATTTGAGGGGTTGCTACAATTGCCATGAACAGTTGTTATCACGGTATAAGGTACTAAGGTATATCCTATATAGGGTGCATAATACAATGTAAATAAAATCAATATAATATAACAAGATAACGTTTATAGGTACCTACATAACGTTATTGACTCCGTTTTTTTCTATGATCAACTTTTGGTGACTGTATGAATTGACTTATAATTAAAAATACCATCATGCTTTGTTATTAAATATGCAGGTACACGGAAAAATATACATATACATAGTTGGTCAAACTAAAAGTATGGTTAATAAATGGACACAATAAATGTTTAGAAGAAATAACTAAATTTATTTAGGTATTCCAACTGTATTTTTCTGTGTATAAATATTTAAACATCATGAAACAAGAAAACTAAATTTATTATACCTATATATTATTTATTTGAATTCAAAATTCATAATATATACACCCGATATGTATAATAATATATACAACGTTTAACGTTATTATACTTATATTTATTATTAATATCGAATTATTAAAAAATAAACAAAAAAAAAATCTAAAATCTATATTTGTTATAACTAAACATTTAGTTCACATGATTTAGTTCAATTTATCGAATTATTCCAACTAAATTTGTTTGTACTATTAATCATATAATAGTACCTACTTACTAAGATGCAGCTATTTTTTCTGTGTATAAAAAATTATTAAATTAGTTAGTCTTTTTTTATATTTCTTGACACAAGAAAATAAGATGCAGACCCTTGTTGAATTTATGACAAGTGGGAATAGGAGGTTGGCTAAATTTTATTAATGCTCGAGGCCTAAACGGCTATAATTATTTCAAAAAAATGAATACCCTAAAAAGTATTTTATTAGTCATGCAAATTGTAAAAATTGTCTATTTTTACAATGGGAATTCAAGATAGGTATAAGTCGAATTATTTACTATTTTGAATAAATCATAAATTGAATAAACAAGCATATTTTTTTAAATTTATTTGTGTGTTCCAATTCAATTTAATTGAAATAAAATAAACTCTTACATTAATAGTTAATACTGTCACTATCTAAATAATAAATGGCTTATAGATTAATAGTTCAGTAATAAAATATCTATTAAAATAAATTATAAAATATCTATAACTATTATTCATTATTACACCCACAATTGTCTTCCTAAATGTTTTTAATGTGTCTAATGTGATAATGATTGTGTTTGAAATAGTCGTCATTAAAGTTCATCAACATTTTCCTATTCAAGTTATTGAAAAATATAAATTGTGGTATTCAGTTATTTTATATTTTTTCTACTAGTTAGCGGTTCATATATGGACATGGCTTATTTCTAGGAAAGAACAATAATTGTCAATTTATGACAAAAATTAGACAAACTATATTTTCTCGACTTGAGTTTTGTTAATTTAAGATTGTAATTTATGTTTTTTTAGAAGTTTTATTAGTGTTTTATTTTTTTATTTAATATCATGTTTTATTCCTCATTCCACCAGGTTGCTGGTGACACTAGTTGGCTCTATAGATTTTAAAACCTGGACAAAAAAGTTTAGTGCTCGGCTTACAGCGCGGTTATGTAGTATATATAATTACATATTATATAGTTATATTATACTTGCTATTTATTAATATAAGTGTTATTTGTTTTTCTAATAACACATTTAATTGTTCGGATTAGTGCTGTTTTAGACCATCAGCGTTCCAGAGTAATATGTTTACATTTAGTTGGTTAGTAATTGTCACCTTCATACGTTTATTTATTAATAATTTAAATTCAGAAACGAAGGAGGAATATTTTTGGGCTGTTAGGATGAAGAGGTTGTTGAATTAGGTTTGAAAGAAATTAGGTGTCTCTTATATTGGGAGATCCCGACGAGTCATATCATCGGAGTTTTCGACCTTAATTAAATAGAACTGTAGTTTACATTTTTCTTAAATTACATTTTGTATATACCATTGCGAAGCCTTTGCAGGTAGATGATATTACTTGTTGTTAAATTAAATAATTAAGTAAAATATTAAAATAGATTATTTAGTGTTATGGTTTTAAAAAGGAAACCTTTTAAAACTTCGAAAGAAGCAAGGGGTATATGGCTCTTCTATAAATATAGTTTATGGATACGCCGAGTGCAAATGGCCATAACTGCAAATGGTCGAAAAAATTGTGAAAAAAGTTTCTAGTTTATGCAGTGTAGCAAGTATAAACACATTTATTGAACATTTTCTTCAAATACAATATCATTGATATAAACATGTAATTATTCATTCATTCAAATACAATTTATATTAATTTAGACTTCTGAAAATTAATAGAATTCCTGTTACAGGCATATTTCTATTTTCAGAAGGGGCTGCGATTACTGCTGGTAGTCCTGGTAAACGTCTTAATGTCAATTTATCCATATTGCTTCGGTTAAAATAAGGTTCCTGACCTGATCTTAATTGATTAGGCCATGTCCGATAATAACTCGTCGAAAGAAGACTTTCCGTAAGATTAGTCGACCATCCATTTTCTCGCAAGTAGCGCCTTATAGGTTCCTTTAAATAAAAAACGGTTAAACATGTTTTTGAAAAATGTATTTTATTCAAAAATTACTTTTTGAGCATCGGTAGGTGTAGTTTCCAATAATCTCCAATTTATCATCCCATCGGTGATTAATTCTAGTGAATTAAACCATTCTGGGCTGTGTAACGGATCCGGGCGCTTATTCATAACAGAAATTATTTATTATAACAATAATGCACGTATGCAGAGTGATTTTTTTTATCACGGAACACTCAATATCTCATAAGGTTTGGGTATAATAAGAAATTAAAATGTTTTTTCTATATTGTTTTTATCTCAATATTCCATAACATTTTTGGTTTTTATCCTCTCCCAGCTTAGTATTTTTGAAGTTATTGAAGTTTTAAGTTTAGGGCAGGAGGAAAGGTGGAGTGTAGCATTATTTTTATCTGCACGCATTTCCCAACCGCACTTTTTATCCCATAATGACTTTTAAACTCATATAACTTTTAAAAAAAGTTGTCCAAAACTGGTTATCAACCAGTCAACATTTTTAGTCCATTATTCTCAATTTGAAAAGTTAATGAAATGTATGCGTTACTATTTAAGTTTCAAAAGTTGGTATCAAAAAAAATAAGTTGGAAACGGGGGTAAAAACAAATAAAATTGTAGAAAACTAAGATCACATCGTATAAAAACCATATGAGAAAAAAATTAAATTGTTATTAAACCCTATGAGATAATAAGTGGCCCATAATAAAAAATCATCCTGTGCTTTTGCAATTAAACATTAAGTAAAGTTATAAGTTATGCCCCTCAGGGGGGGGGCGCCTAGTGTTTACGGGTTTAGCGAACCTGGAGCCCCGAGCTCCCTTCTTCCCAGAGTTTGGGAAGTTGATCGTTGGGCTAACAAGCCTCGGAATTGGGAAAAAAACTGGACAACGACTGGAAACGGAATCTGGCATTAAAATTGGTACTAGGATCGTCAGAACGCTTAATAAACCTAGAGCGTTATAGTGTATGCTGAACGGCATTTAACATTTTAAGAAAATATAAAACACTGGAAATATCTGAATTTATTCATTACAATCACACCCCGCTGTTACAAAGGCTTAATTATCTAGTATTGAACTGTTATTTTAGTACCTATAAACTTCAAATATAAACTTCAAACTAACGTGCATCCCCTCACGTGCTGACCCATCAGGATATCCTTACACCCTTCCCCCAGTACAGTGTGGTCGGGGCATAGTGGAGACGGAGAGGACACAGGTCTTTAGGAATTCCTATGATTATAGGCTCATGTCATCTATTATGTGTCTATACTACCCACGTGCCATGTGTAAAGTGAAAGCACTGATACTTTAATCAAAATAATACAATTTTAGCTTCTATCAATACTTCAATGAATTCTTTTCGTAGTTCTTGATTTCTTTTAAAGTTATATTTTTTGTCCATGTATGTTTAAAAATTAAAACCAAAATCTAAAAAAATTTACTCTCCGGAAGCACAAAATTTTGATGTTTTTCACTTGTTGGGCTGAAGTTGTGGAGGCGCAAAATTAGCGGAACTAATACAGTTTCAAAAAAAAGGCTCTTCGAGCTCTTACTGAGTGTGATGCTAAAATGTTTCCTAATATATTTAAAATTATAAAATTGTTATGCACATTGCCTGTATCTACCAGCACACCTGAGCAGATGTTTTCCCCTCTAAAAAGAGTAAAGACGTATTTAAGAAATAGCATGTGTAAAGAAAAAATTAAAAAAATGCTAGCATTTTATGCATTGTGATTAAATAGCTATCAATACATTTTAATAATAATTAACTTTTATTTCTCTTCAAACAGTAAAGATTGAATGGATTAGCTAAGTTCATAACAATAGAACTGGACACTGAGACAGTAATTGATGAACTAGCGAAGAGACCTCAAAAAAATTAATTATTTTTAAAAAAATGAGTTGTCCAAGTCAATAAAATTAATTTGTTTCAAATTTTCAGTGTATATTATAAAATATATAACTGTGTACAGTAGTATACAAAAAAAATGTATATTTGAATGAGGGGTGTGGGGAGCGCTGCCCCCACTTTACGTTTACTAAAAAAAATCATCTATCCCCCCCTTCTCAGAACCAAATCATAACTAAGCCACTGCTCTACCACCAAGTCAAAGGCACCGCTGAACTTGACAACTTTTAGTTATACGGTCTACTGTCTTATATCTACGATACTTTCCTTATAACTATACTAAAAAAACGAGTTAATCCTCAAAATAATTTGTATTTTTTTCGATAAATATAAATGTCTTCAAGTGTTACTACTATAGAATATTATATTATTGTATAGTATATTTTTATAAAATAATTAATATTCTTCAAATAATAGGTGGTGCATTGTTGAAGTGATCCATGGCACGAGCCGCCACTGGGTAAAAGTTAAAAAAAAGTCACTTCTTCACCCTTTAAATTTAAAAAAAAAAACATACATTTTCAACTTTTTTTTAATGGATAGTATTCTGTTAACGAAACTGCAAAAACATTGCACTCGCACTTAGTTTAGAAGATTATATATTTTTTTTAAAATCCGTCGTATGTAGTTTTGAATTAGAATAAATAAATATTTTGCATTTTTTAGAGAATTTTAGGATTCTAACTTTAAATTTTGTTTTAGTTTTTTACTTTTTTTTTATATATAAAAATTATTTAGTACTGATAATTTGTTGTCTGATAATTATAATTTTACAAACTTAACCTAGATTATCAAAATCGACATCAACGCTCCTAGGCACCGTCGTAAAACCCATTATAACTTTTATGAAATTAATTTACAAATGTTTTTTATATAACATATCATTGATAAGTTTCTTCTATATAAACTTATGTATAGCTTATCATTTATCAAATAAAAAATTATTATTTAGTGTATGAAAAGTACTGTCGATTTAAAAAAAAGGTATCCAATAAAGTAGATTTTCACCCAAAATGTTATTATACTTAAAAATTGTTGAGAAAATATGTATAGAATGGTAATATTACTTAATTTTTTTATTCTAAGAACGCAAAACATTTTGTGGAGTTGAAAAACATATTTTGTATCTACTAACAAAAATAATTAAAATACATTACTCGATTATATTTACCCTTATTGTATCACTTGTCCCACCTGAATGCATGCAACCAGCGTTTACTAAAACGTTGAAACACGGTAACAAAAATATAATTTTCCAAATCATTGTTTTGTTTATCTACTGTGAAATACCTTGACGCTAAAAGACAACTAGAAAAGTGAAAGGCAGGTACAACACTATGCTGAAGTTCAACGCTTTCCGTGCAATATGACTCTACAATTTGTTTTGCGGATATAATAAAAAAGCTACGTATTATGACAGATGGCCTTAGTTAAATACAAACATCACAGGCACAGAATAATATGAAGTGAGTGAGTTTTAGCATGGAACTTACTTTAACCTTGGCACCTTATCCCGAAAACGAAACTAAATTGCTATACAATAGTAGCGCGTTTACTTTAAACAAATAATAACTATAAGATGCCATAGGAATAATAAAAAACGGGCCTAGTTAAGAAAGTAAATACAACAGTTTGAAAAGTTATTAGTTGTTGATATTAACACAAGCTTTCGGGTTTTTTTTTTTTTTTACTGTAGCCAACCATTCTAATAACATCATTTCTTACGATGAAATTTGAATGTAGCTAGAAAAATTAAGCTTTACCATTGTATTTCAGAAGTATAAAAACATGACCCGTGTATTGATTAAATGATTATTATAAGGGTTAAAAGTAAAATTGGAATGAGTACAATAGTACAAGATGTATGATTTATATGATTAAAATTAAATAGATCAAAGTAAAGTTATTTTTTTATTAGAGTGGACTAAACACATACATATTTTATGTCGGTAATAATCGTATATAAATTTAAACACACAAAGTAGCTTCAGGAATATAACAGCTGTAACTGGCAAAAAAGGTGCTGTCTCACCACTTATCAATGTAAATCTTATTAGGCTTCTATCACTGTTCTAGATTCGTGTTAAAAAATGAATTGTTTTTAGACATGGACAATTTATCTCAATGCATCAAATACCTATAGTGTTTTTACCCAATTATAAAAACGAATTAATTACTACTTCACAGCTATAATATTAATAATTTATATACAGGGTGATTATTTTAGCGCCCTACACTACTTTTCTCAAAAACTACTTAGATTTTTACAAAAAAAAAATGTTGATTTCTTTTTTATGTATGAAATACTAACTTATTACCACAATACTTTTTCTTACCTCCCCGCATTCCACAAAAACTCGATACCAACTTTTGATTTTTAAATGGCAACACCTATAAATAATTACATATTAGGATAGATATTATTATTTTTTGAAAATCGGCATATTAGAAAGCATAGTTCCAACTAGTAGTGTTGAAGTTATAAGCAAGTGATAGACAAGCGGTGAAGGGATGTAAAATATTTGTTTGGTCTTTCAATGCTATTTAAGAGACGCTAAATCTGGCAGCATCGTACAGTAGAATGATGCTGTTATAAACAATATTATGCCTGATGCTTGTTATTTATGAAAACTTCACTATTGGCTATACCTATAATATTGCTCTTTAGTCTGATCTTACTACTACAATGTACAAACACGTTAAACGTTTTATTAATGACAAACCCAGGTAACAATGAATCGCTTTATTTATCCAACAGATAACAGTAAACAGTTTGTACGTTGTCTGTGTCCTGTAAAGTTACTTCTCTCTTTCAATTTGTAAATTTTAAGTGTTGTGCCTTTTAGGATTACAGAGAGGTAAGCTCTTAATATTTTTAACATTTGCTTTAATCATAACCCATATAATGCATTTATGCACTACGGACGTTTTGGTTGAACTGTGTTTAATTATTAAGGCCTACTTCTTCTTAATTCTAGACAATACTAAAAACTTATATTATAAAGATATAACAATTGTTTTTAATTTTTTAACTACTAGCGAAAATTCATTTGTATGTACTGGATGTAAAAGAAATACATTACTTACATTTTTAAAATAATTAATATGTATAGGTACTTATAAAATCGCACCTAATTTATAAATTATGATAGTAAAAAAATATAATTAAATAGCATTTTAGAAATTAAAATTTTTATTATTATAGTGAGAATGTATACTTAAATTTTTATAGAATTTTATCACATTGTAATTTCATACTTTGATTAGAATTGTTTCATTCATAAAATTATAATATAGAGTAATAAAGATTTTTTTACTCACAAATTACTCACATTGTCATTATCCATAAGACAGCTGCTGTTGGTACTTGGTATTTATGTTGAGGAATTGTAACAATTTGATTAAAACCATGAAACATGTTTTCAATTATAATTTATATATTTACATTATACAAATCGCTTGTTATTTATTATACCTAGTCATTACTTATTAAACACCTTCACTTATGTCTATTCCGCATTAATAACCTTAATGAAATAAAATACATAATAATCTTTATTGTGCATGCTAAACTTTTTTATTATAATTTAAAGGTTTGTATTGTGCTTATATATTTTTCAAGTTTGTAGCAAAACTAAAACTAGTACAGTAAAATTAAATGTTATACTGATATTTACCTGTCTAACACTTACAAAAAGTTCTTTAATTAGACAAATATAACTCACGATTTATAGTATTTTTCAATAACTTGATTTATCAAAAGACTACTAAGAAAAATATATGTAAGTTTATAAATAGATGTAAGCTGTTGCTTATAAATATTAACTAAGGACAAGATTCAACCCCTATAGATACAACCCCCTATTTTACCCCTAGATAAAAATCGAAGTGTGTTTTCACTATCACCATCCCATATGATAATACCATATTGTAGTATAGACTGATAAAGTAATACACAATTTGTATAATATCTGAGGAAATCATTTTGTTCAAACTATATAATAATACTTATAAACCATAATACTTAGGCGCATATTGACATAATACGATACCTGACAATTCTATATCAAATTAAATTCTAACCTAAGTATTGAACTTTTGTTTCTCTATCAATTATAAAAGCAATCTGAACTATTTGAATTATTATTATAATCGTTACGCCGGACTGTTATTTCCTAAAATGGATATCGTGTACAATATTATGTACAGAAAAAGCAATAAATACGGTTTTATTATAATTAATTGTTATCTTTTTTAGATTAAGTTTTGTAACCAAACCTAACAGCTAAAATTAAAATATATGAAACATGCTTTAGCCTGCTGGCTTGAATATGAATTATAGAGAATTTGTTTCGTTTAAAAATTAAAAAAAAAATCCAATTGTACTCGTTGCATCTTTGAACTGCGATGAAAACATTTGGTCTGAGTGTCCAATTCCGTACAGAAAAAGAAAAGACATTTTAATTAGTTTTAAAAATGTCCACACCACTGTTTTCCAATTTCCAATGACAATTGGGACACCTAGTAGGCTAGTTCAAAGATAAACATCAATTTTACAAAATTATTTTTTATTAAAGTATAGTTTGTCGGATTCTCGCCTTGGCCGCTACTCGAAAACACGATTTTTTTTACTTTAGGAAAAACACTTGCGTGATTTGATGTGCGTATCCATTTCCACTGTTTGCACAAATGAAATTATTGTAATCGTTTATCCAATGTTTATGTCTCTGACTCCATCACCAGTATTAACTTTAATTAGTTGGACGTGTTATGTAAACAAATATCCTCAACAATACCTAACCGCGAAAAAAATGGCCAAGTTCCTTACACTAAAAAACTCAGCCTACCACAGTAGTGTGATGGGCAGGTAGAAAGTGATAGCGACAAGGACCAACATTTAAGAATTTTTCTAATATTTTTTTCAAAAAGCTGATGTAATTTCATATAAAATGTTAACATTCCAAATTGGATTTTTCATAAAAACGCTTAAGCGAGAACCGAAATAAAGAAAAACTGTAGTCCCGAATTTTTTCTTCGTTTAATATGTTATGGACACCTATGAATTCGAACTCCTGACAAATTTTCAACTTAAAAGTCTTTAAATTACGGCTAAAAACCCCAATAAATGAAAAAACTTGTACCCCCACCCCCCTCTAGGGGTATGGGAAATGGGTATATTTTAAATTTGAGACTATTGACGTGTGAGGGCGTACAAATCGAATCTTATATCTTATCAATACGAATGTTCTTCTAATTGTAAAACCAATAGCATCACCGTTTCGCATCGAAGCTAAAATATAATAATACTACAATACCAACTTTTATAAAAAAAAAACCAATAATTATACCTATAGTGCCTAAATTTTTACAGAATTATTTAAACTACAAAAAAGTCTTGAAATACCTTGTTATTTTTTTTTTTTTTGCCATAAAAGTTGTGGATAGATTAGGGGCCTTTTTTTCAAAAGCGACATCAGTTTATTTAGTAGGTACCATTGTTGGTATGCTTATATAATGATTTGTTTTGTTATTATATCTCTCAAGATATTGCATTGACCATTGTAACTACATTGCAATTACCGTTTAACGCATAATTATAAGATTACAACTAGCATTTTTAGTTGTAGCTAAAATCCCCTTGTTGTACAAAAGCCAACGATATAATATAGGCGTTATTATTTTACACGTTATATTATTATACAGTATTTTTCACAACGACAGTCGCGTTGCATGCAAAATATGAAAAACACCTGTTGGTCGCTTGTCGACTTTTTAGGATATACCATTATGAGAACAATAGCGTTCTACAAAAACAATATTTCATAGTTCTACTTACGTTATATTATTTGTATGATTTAAGTCGCTGTGGCGCATACTTACCTGCACAGTGTACAAACGATACAACGCCTTGTTATATTATGGTTTTTTTTTTTGAACGAAAAAAAGTTGTCTGTTATATTATCACTAATTTTCAGACCTTAGTCCTAGAAGTTTACACGAAAAAGCGAATTAAATAAAAAGTTTCCACCCTTCCTAGGGGAAACGATTTATAATGTTTTATTGGTTAATCAATATTTATCAGTGATACTATGCCCAAAGAGTATTCCATTTTTGGGCGTTTTATCTCGATTTTGAAGGGGAAGGGGTGAACTTTTAAAATTTCTGATCTACAGAGTTGCTTCTTGAAGTAACAAGTTAAGCAGTTTGAAAGATATCGTGTGTCCAAACACCAAAACTAAATAAATAATATATAACTAAAGTAGATTAAAAAATTAATCTAAAAATAACGTTTTTATGCGCTTTAAAAATGACAAAATAACCCTCCGGGGGTCTTGATAACCAAATAGGACAGGTGAACTAGAAAAACGTGGGGCGCATCTTTCTAGTTAGATATTAAAACCTAAGCTTTTATGCTAATGCATTAAGTTGTCTCTCATAATGCTGTCTCTCTAACCGAACGGATCAGAAAGTGAATTTTTTTGTTAACTATCTACTTGCTTAACATTTAAAGTAATGTGGTGCTCAATTTTACACGACATGTCATTAAGTATTATTTTATTTAGAACAGAAAAGATGATTGTGCACGAATTATGAGTTAAGGTAGTTATTAATGAGAAGAGAACGTTATTATATATTCAGGCGAGTGAGTAATAAAGATGCGCTCCACGTTTTTCTAGTTTACCTGTCCTATTTGGTTATCAAGACCCCCGGAGGGTTATTTTGTAATTTTTTAAGCACATAATTGCCATTAGGTACAATGTTTCTATCGATATTTGTATTTTTGGCTGTGAATATTGGACACAATTCGTGTAGATTTATAACAACGTGCTCAGAAGTTCGTTCATATTTGGCGTTTTTGCCCATATATTTATTTTATTATTATTATTATTTATTAAACATTTGTCTTAACATATCTTTATCGTAAAATTTATGGCAGCCCTTCTTAATACGTCCGCATTAAAGTCATCAATATCGGTTACCACCTGCCTACGCTTATATGACTTCCTGGAGACGAAAAAGCTACATTTCTATTAGAAGCCTCTGTTTGATTAGAATTTTTATCTTCAGCACAAATACTACGTACCGTACTTTCGCTAACTCCACACCCCACGGCAGTCATCACTTGTTTATTTTTTAAATCGGCTGATACATCTTCCATTGTCGACCATTTTTTTAAACGGTTATAGACATTAAAATTGGTCTGTTTTGTTTGGCTATGGACATCGTGTGATTTACAAGAAGCCATGATGTTAAAAATCTCAAAAATAACAACAAATCATATCGGCTTGAAAAAAACCATCTGGGATTTTTATTATTTTATTTATAAAGATAAATAAATAAAAATATGATTTTATGGAATTACAAGTCGAGTTTTTTAAATAAATGGAAAAAATTAAAAATTACAACATAGTTCAAAACAATCAATTAAACCTATTTATTCTTCAACTTTCGATGTTCTCCTAAATATTTTGCCACTTTGGTATTGTAGTCGGAATCACTGAAAACAATTGATTATTTAATGCAAAAACAAATCGATAAAAGCTACTTCTTGTTAAAATGAAAATCAATTGAAATTTGTTTGAGTTCAGACTTATAATAAAAAAAAGTTAAATCAAATCTATACCTAATCTTTAGATAATAAAAGAGATATTTAGTTGCAATATTATTACTTACGTGAATTGAAAAGACCTATAAGTAGCTGTAAAAAAACACTTTAATTAAGGAAGCTATATTGAAGGATTGAGTTTGTATGTTGCAGAAGCTGATTTATTTAAGTTGTAAGCTAATTATATAAATATATTAATATGTTTAAATTGTCTTTACTAAACATATAATAATTCTTTTTATAGGTACATTTAGCAAACTGAATAAAGTATTGACTATAAAATATTTTATAGATGAATTTTTAAATCCCTGATTAATACTTATTATATTTTGTTTATACTCTTTAGAATAAAACTGTCTGAATCAGCTTCAGATAAAGTACCAACTGTGAATAAGTGTGTAAGTCGATTTCAGTGATTTTACAGGGGAACGATTTTAAACTGACCAGCTGCCATTAAATCAGTCATATAATCAGAAACTCTCATCTCTCTCAAGGTTTTCTTGTTGATCCAACGAGTTAGAAATTTATTTATTTAAGGTGTGCTAGACACTTCGGACTACATCCTAGCGTACTCAGTCAATTTTGACCAAAATTCGTCTTACACACTTATTCACAGTTGTTACAGATTTAACCAATGATTATTATTTTTTTTTATTTTTTTTTGTGCATGATACTGACATTTTTTTAAAATTTAATTTAGTACAATAATAATATTGTATACTTACGTTCAGTTCCAAACGGAGATACTCCTTCTGTAAAAAAAAAAACAAATGTATCATATATGTAAGTATAATTTTATCTATAAAGCGAATATAGGTGCTCTAATAACTTTACTTGAAAAATAATTTTTAGATTTAAATTATGGTTTTATATGTAATATTCTGTGAAATTGGTATTATCGCCTTGTAAGTATGTAGTTTACAATGAAATCGTTTTTTTTTTTGTTATGCTCAAGTTACATGTAAAACAATTTCTCTGAGTAATTTATGTTAAAAAAATGTGTGATGATATGTATAGAGGGCAGACCCCGACCCCATGCATTATGTTTAGCCCACACGGATTTGATGAGGGATGTAGCTCCCCCCAGATTGTTAACCCTAGTTGCACTTATGTAGATATAAACTGTCACTATGTTGTTGATAAATATTCTAAAGTATTTGAACTGATGAAAGTTAAAAGCAATCTTTAAGGAAAAATTTTAAATGTCTTTGTTCAAGCAGACAGCAGTTATACATACTCTGTCTTACAATAGAAAGCTACTGTATGGAGAACAAAACGCATGTGCCTGCGCAGACAACAGAAAACAGGAGTAATGCGTTTTGGTTTCTGCGCAATACCGTGCTATGATTAAGTAGACAATTTAATTAAATAAACCAGCTACTAAAAACCAACTAATATAACAAATATAACAATATAGTTTACTTGTTTTTACTAAACATCTAATATTTTGAAATACATACTTAGCGTTGTTAACAATGAAGTATTTACTATGAAATATTTTCTAGGTCTATTTTGAAAACCATATTCAGTACTTAATATATTTTGTTTGTATTCTTTAGAATAAAACTGTCTGAGTCAGCTTCGGGTAAAGTAATAAAATTTAGCTATCGTAACGGTCACACAGTGGCGTAGACACGGGGGGGGGGGTCAACCCCCCCTTACACTTTATTTAGCTTAATACTTAAGTTTTATAATACCGTTAGTTGTTTTAATTGTTATCACATATCAGTTATCAATATAAAAATTACAATTGTTCAAAGAGTAAAAACATACCTTAGAAATACTATAAAAGAGGTAAATTGTAATCATATACAATTTTTAATTGTATTTTAATCATCCAACTTATTTTAAACAGGATCGTCTAAAAATGGCTTAGTTCTTCTAATCTATTATCGAGATGAATTTGCAAAAAAGCCAAGAAAAATAGAAATTTTGTTATAACTTATAAGTGTTTAAAAGTGAAATAAACTTAGTGTTTTTTTTATTGCATTACCTGAAAAAGTATTGGATGAATTAGCAAGTAAGCCAAGAAAAATACAAATTTTGTTATAAGTGAAATTAATTTAATGAGTTTTTTTCCAACCATAACCCCCCCCCCCCATAAAAAATTCCTGTCTACGCCACTGCGGTCACAATAATAGTAAAATAATAATTTATTTAAAATATATTTTTCAGTAGAGTTAAAAAATATTTTTATAAAGTTGTTGATCGTTCAAATAAAATAGCAACAAAGAAGAAAAAAAATTGCATAGACTTGGTGAAGAGAATTTGATCTTTCTATAGAGGAAGTGAAATTTTAGTATTTTACATATTGTATTAAGTAGTAGGATTTTGTCATTAACCGTAGCAACCATCGTTAAAATAATTGTGTGCTAGTGTAGAACTAAAAAAAAAATCATACATAATGCTACAATTTCTGTATCTATAACTTATACCCATTTTTTTTTTTATTAATTATGAACATTTATATATTAGACATTTTTAAAAAACATTGAATTATCCACACAAAATATATACTAATTTTAAATTATATTTCACAATTTGTTTTTATGTGTAACATCTATTAATACAGTAATGTTTAACAATTACTACAATTTGCTTTTTAAAATGTAATGACTGATCAAGTTACATTTTTTTACTAATAATAATAACATATTTTAATCATAATAAGTAAAAAACTGTCTTCTAAATCATGCTTTGGATTTAAATAATTATTTTATTTTATTAAGTATTACAATTTTTATTTTTTTGCTAGAATTGTATTTTTAAAAGGTTAAAATATTTATTGTGCGATTGTATTGAATTAAATATTTAGTTTTTAATCGAAAAACAATTTATGTACATAAATTTGTAGTTTTCATTAGTTTTAATTTTTTTTAACAGTTATTGTTATTGTTAATTAAAAGCATACCAAGTATTAAACACACTTCAATAGTAGTGCACAGGTGCGATGAGAGCATTTTTTTTCCGAAGAAAATGAGCAATATGAAGAATGTACAGCAATAGATACACATAATAGAATTTTCAGTGATGTAAAAAATACTTGTCAAATATATCAGAGCAAAATATAATTACTTTAGAAGAAAAATCATTTTAAAATACTAGTTAAACATAATTATTTGTGTATTTATATTACTTATAATAGCTTGATTAAAAATTACTGCTGCTAGAGAACTTGCCATAAGTTCAGTAAATATATAACAATGTTTAAAATTATAAAAAAAAAATCATTCATCACACTTGTGCACTATTCCATTGATATTATATTATGGATATTTTACATAATTTATGTCATTTCAATTTTAATAACTTACAACAAAATAAAAATTCACCAACATTTTGGTCAGGTTTGTACACATGTCCTACGATTGTATCAAGAAGTTGTTAGCATTCTGAGCACAACTTGGCTTTTGTTAAATATACATTGATCTGTAAATACAATAATAAATCAAGAATAAAAGATACGTACGTTTAATATATTTTACTAAAAAATAAAACTGATACATACACGTCATGTTATCAAGTGTAGGACGATTGAAGATTCATACTTGCATCATTTTCTATGAATTATGACATATTGCTAGTCTAAAACTTGATTAAATTCACGAAAATGAATTTAATAATGTTTAGTAGTAAGCTTATTGTTGTTGTATCTTAATCCCTTGGTGTTAGAAACTGAAAAAAAAATCATAAGTAAATACATATATAAGTAATAACTACCTATGAACTTTAAATACATAATTAGGCGGTTAAAGTCTATTTGGCCGTTAGCATAAGGGACATTTTTCATAGTTTACAAGAGCATAAAAGAAAATGTATTTAACATTGTTCTATTCTGTAAACCAAAATAATATTAAGCGTACAAAAAACAGCATGCAAACCAACATTTTTGCAATATATATTTTAGTTTTTATCAAGCCAATAATAATTATAACAGTCGGATGATTTAAATGTAATTTGTCGTTTATGATCGTACCATATGCGTACAACAATAGTAGGATACTTTGCACAGAGCAAAATAACAAAAAATAATCCAAGAACATTGCGGAAATATTAAAAAAATAATTTATCAATACTTTTATTATATGAAATAAGTACTTAACATTGTTTTTGTGTTGTATGTATTGGTTTACAATTAAAAATTAACCATCTATTTATATATTATATTAGAGAAATGCATTTTTTAAGGTACTGTACAGTCCTTTTACACAACATATACTCACGGTCATCTTGAAGTCGTAGAATTAAATAACGTCCAGCAATGCTCGTCTGCTACAATATTTTGCTGAATTTGAATGAGGTAGTACATGCTGATAACAGTTCTTATGTGTTATCTTATTTGATTTCTAATATTTCATGTTTTCTACGTAATACTCGAAGAGACGGCAGAGGGAAATTTAGTCTTAGAAGTTAATATCCACGTTTAAAGTTCCACAAAAAGTTATTATTTTCAAAGTACGTTTTATACTGTCATCAAACTATCGAAAAACCTTCTGTATTTTTTATGTTCCAAAGATCATAATTGGTAAGTGGTTATTAACTAACCAAAAAATTTGATTTCAACTCATTTGATTTTTTATTAAAACATTGCTGGCTTGTTCTTAATTTTTGCTTTAAAGATTCAACACATTGAGCAAGTTGTGCATAATAACTTGATTCATAAAGCACTTTTCTGCTCTTAGGTGGAGTTACGGGAGATTCTAACCGTTTTACTGTAGCATAAAAGTGATCGACAAAATTACTCATTGAAACTGCTGTTGGTTTGTTGGACGGTTTGATGGTACATATTTTCACTGTTGGCAGCTTTCTCGAATATTCTTTACTGGAGTTTTCGTAGAACAAGTGATTTCACTGGTGTACGTTTGGACGGAGACTTATTATTAATATTTTCTGAATGAGACTGTGGTGGAGATAGCATAAAACACTAAACAATAAACACAACTACTTCAACAACAACTATTGATGCATAATGACTTAAACTTATTATCTTAGAATTTCAGTACCAAATTATCATTTATCAGGTACAATAATATTATTATCACACATTAAAATTTGACAGAATATAATATATTTTCGTGATAATAGTATGTTACCAGTGAATCCCGCCATGTCATAATATTCAAAATGTATGAAATAAGGTACTTTTTGTAAAACTTTTTTCTAAGCTTTGTAGTTTTAAATTTTTTTCAAATGATACCTACACAATTTAGAGAACAATATTGGTAAACAAGTAAATATTTTAATTCGTATAAGTTAAGTTTCAATATGAGATTAGGTCATATTTTGTTACACACGGTAAACAGACACTTAAAGTCCAAATCCTATGTATTTTACTTTAAAATAATTAGTTTAGGTTAAACGCATAAAATATGTCGAAAAAGTTAATCTTGTACATTATAGTTGTACTATGTTTTGCGACCCTTTGGCGAGGGAGGCCGACCATTCACTTACTATAGCGGCATGTCAATAGATTGTTTAAATAAATACATTTATTATTAGAGTAGCATTTCATGTGATTTTTTTTGTTCTTATGTAAGAGGTAGAGGAATTCACGAACTTTGGTTTTGCTATACTCTAAAATGTTCATAATGTGATGACTACCATTTTTCTCCTGTGCCCTTCAAATATTACATTGGAAAACTATTGAAAGTATGGAATCAATGCGGCGCGCCGGCGGCAACGCGGTATCTTGCCGGTAGATGGCGTCTTTGGGAGTTTCCATTGAAATTCACAACGAACGGCCATTGAAATTCGGTTAAAGTTTACTAGAAATCTCATTGAAAGTGAAATGTTTAAATTCTGCGGCATTTCACCGACTTCCGGGTTGGTCGAATGCTGGCAAAAAACGTTTCTCGGCGGTCAGAGCCGGTCGAATGGCACAAGGTTCAAGGGGAGTTCACTCAACGGGTCGACCGCAGTTGTCAGGTCATAAGTACTGATAGTTGACTGACAATGTGACCAACTCCGGTTCCCTTTCAATGCGAATAAATCTTTCGCCTTTTACTAAAGATTTCCGTGGAGGGGAGCACTCAAAGGAGTCTAGATAAATAATTTTTCCAACGCCCGACTTTCGAGTTGGGCTCACAATGATCACGTGCAAGTTATAAAGACAATTTAATATATTTAATATTAAACAAGAAGTGTGAGGTCAGAGGTGTAACGTCTGTAGTCTGTAATTAGTCCAGTCATCTATCTGCTATCAACACAAAAGTGACAGATTGACACTCGACAAGTGTTGTTATTTTCAGTGCAGCCACTTTAGAAAATTTAATTTTTATGCGGTAGTTGATAAATAATTGGGGGTGACTGCCACGAGACACTACTTGTGTTGACATTTAATATCAACAACTACTTAATTAATTAATTTTTAATGCTACTTATGGCTACGTTATTATATTTTGGTTGACGTATAGTTTACATATTCAAAATTTCAATTAACAGCAACTGAAATTATTTTGAAAAATGTCAAATTTCAAAATTATACACCATGGCAGCCAAAATACAAATTTTACAATATTTATTTTAATATAGTCATGGAATATTTATTTAGAAACGGCATCTTGGCAACCAATATTTTATTCAAAACCAAATTAACATTTTGATAATGATCACTCACAATGTATATATGTAGGTACGCGATAAAAATGCACAATGGTCTTAGTACCCGTTTTAAATTTAAAAAATTCCATTTTCAAAATTTCCATAATAATATATTATAAAATAGTACAGTGTATGGGTCACTGTGTTTATTAAAGTGGGAACAAACAATAACATTCCAAATATTGATAAAAAAAAAAAAAGTTAAAATTCAGAGATTTTTAAATTGCTTTGGTAAGCTATATTTATTTACTGTTAGTTTTAGAATTATTTCTTAAACGTTATATAGAAAATTCTGAAATTTAATACGCGTAAAAGACGAGTTGTGTCACATTTTAGAATTAATCGTTCGAAATAATTGTCAAATTTTAATTGTATTTTCTTGGTTCCATAGCAACCACACACTATCATTATTTATAACCTTTCTTTATTTTTTAACGATACTAATTAGTAATTTGTACTTGTATCTTGGTAATCTTGTACATTTTGCCATTGCCTCATGATAGCCAAAATGATTATACACATTACATTTATATTAGGTATAAGTGCCTAATATAATAATACTTAAATGATGCGATTTAGTTTGTTAGTATAATTTTTTTTGGCGTTTTAGGAATTAAGTTGTTTGCAGTATGCTATGAATAATAATAAAATAAATAATTATAAAAATAACTTTTTGAAAAACATGTTTTTCTAAATAATAATAAAATAGTGAATTAATACGAAATCTAAAGTTAGTCAATAAAACTCTACTAAAAAGTAAAAATAATTTTACTACAAGAACAATTTATCTACTAATCAATTGTATCACATTCTTTTTTTTTTTAATGTCAATTATTTCGAAAACAACCGAAAATTAACTACAATTTTTAATAGTGTTAAACATTTTTAATTTTTGACTAAAAAGAAAAGCGTGGGCCCTATACAACTAAGTCCCTTATAAATTTATCAGATAACATTTTATATTTTAAGTTTGAAATTTGTTCAATTTTAGTGTGAGACAAATACATTTTATAATACTTAACTCAATGAATTTGAACTTTGTTAAATAGGACCGGCGCTTTTCTACTTCTACATTTGATTTTAGTATAGTTTAATTGACTAACTTTATATTTCGTATAACTTGTTTTGGTTATGCAACTGTTATCATGGCTCATGGACCGAATAGGATCAAATCTGTGATTGTTTGAAATGACCAAGTCCGTTGTTTTAGGGAATTGCAAAAATATCAATAATCGTTTCCATTCGTTATGGAAGTCTTAAGCCTATTTTAATAGGTACATCTTTCGGAAAATAACTTATTGTTTTGGTAATTAACAAATGGGTAAATACTAAATAGTAAAGAGCCCCCTAATTAAAACTTTGCCATGGCTCTTAATAATCTAAGTTCAAAATTGTTTTATCAATACATTGTTTTAAACGTGCAGAATATGTTTATGTGATTTAGTTTGTATTGTAAAATTTTACTTTCTTTTTGCACTTCGAGAACTAAATTTTATGCTGTGTATCACATAATAGTATATTACTTAAAAAAAGAATAATAGTTATAGTTTTGTGTTTAAATACGTAAAATGAACTCAATGTTTCCGCCAACGACCATACCACGTTGAATACACCAGTTCTCGTCCGATCACTGAAGTTAAGCAACGTCGGGCGTAGTTAGTACTTGGATGGGTGACCGCTTGGGAACACTGCGTGCCGTTGGCTTTTTATTGAATTTTTTGCTTTTGTTATACTGTACACCATTTTTTTGTTGTGTTCCTTTAACAGACACAACTTTTATACTTTTTTATTATCAATATCATCCACTTTTATTTCATACATATTTTTTTATTTAAATTTTTTATGTTTTTACTGCTGTATAACATATTTTTTTGTTGCCCAATATGAATTAAATTGTACGCCCAGAGGCCCTATGTTTTTTTAAGTTTTTAAATCCGTACTATTGTACAACAATATTCAGTGCATCAAATACCTATATTATTTAAATGTTGTATAAACGTATTACTTATTTATTCACAGCCATATTTTATATTTTTATAATAGATAAATTGATAAAAATTGTCAGTCTCGTTGAAATACACCACCCATCACCATCCCAATCCCACCGTTTGGATTTAAAATTTTCGATTGATACCACTGGTGGTAATGTTGTATACAACTAGAATATCCGAGTACAAACTTAACCTAACCGTGTAGTTGACAAAGCAAAACACACAAAATTGTTTGCCCAGAACATATGCTGAACGCCTAGGTACGTACATCATCAATTAATAAAAATTCAAAGTGAAAATTTGCAGTGAAAATCTTAGTCGTACATTTAAAGTTACTATTAAATTTGTTGAGGGCTTTTTTCAATTAAAAAGATCAATGCTCAGATAAAAGCTTCTTACTAACGACTCAAGTATAGTGAGGGTTCGGCGAAGGAGATAGAGTGAGGCATATTTATGTTATGTTTGCAGAAGTGTTGATGAACAAATTAAATATTAAGATTTACAGAGAACGCAAATTCAAAGCTATAAAGAAAGATTCTCATGTAGAATTAATGGAGAAATGTGTGACATCATTTTTTTTTTCAGGAATGTAAAATTTAAATTAAAAAAGTATATATAACACGAAATTACTTTATAAAAAAATTTGATATATTGTAGGTATTTCGTTTATAGTACATTAGTTAAATGTTTGTGTGTATTCCTAACAAAAAACAGGCTATCAGTCTAATAAATATGTAAAATAATACATAGTCCAAGTAATCCATAATCCAAGTCTATATTCTGATTTTGAATATCGTTTAAGCGACAGTTTAAATTATCATATAATCATTTAAATACTATTTGATTGATGTTTACGTACAAATTAAGATTTTTAAAAAACCATAAAATAAAATGGAACCTAATTCACGTTTTTAATTATTATTTTAACATAGTGGTACAATAAAAAAAATATTAATACTGATATACTTACAAAGATCATTATGTATCCTATTTACTCATTTTTAGTAATGATTGAGCTGTAAGCTGGAACACAATTTAGCTTGGTAGCTGCATAAATAATCACTAGTTGAAATAAGAAGAAATATTTTATTGATATGGATCGAACGCGGTGTAAGAAGGTAGAAAAACAATATAGTCTAGTAGAAAAATAAGACACATACCATTCCAAATATAATAACGCTAATATATTGATTTAAAATCGTTGTAAATGATGTTTACAACGTTATTGTGAAAACTATCAGCTGTATAATGTGAATAATTGATCCTAACACTATGTTAAAACGACAACGTGTGGTTATTTACGTCTAAAAAACTATCAGATTATCAGGATCATTATTTTCCAGTGTTTTTAAGCGTTTAAAGCTTTTTGAATTTTCAAGCTGAATGAACAAGTTTATCGTTTTAAAATCAGCGTTGGACGTCAGTTCCTGTGTAACGTACTTGACCAACACTTGTGCGCTGTACAGGCTCTCATTTACTGAATATTCGGGGTATTCTTCAGCCGGTCTGGGAAATCTATAATTACGGACCATTAGTTGGACATCGTTGATGGTCTGTTTGCTGTTCTGTTCGTTGACTGTCATCCGTTGGTCGAATCGCATTTCTTCTGACGAAATCTCGTCCAGTATGTCCAACAAGTTATTCACATAGACGTCGATAAAATTGCCATCAGAAAAATTTGCCGCTGGATTCGAAAGCACGCCGATGGCCGAACGCAAGCGTTGGTCACCGGTCAGATTAATATACTCTACAAACGAATTTAAACAGTCGGACATTTTGACGTTCAGGTATTCGCAATGATTATCGACAAAGCCTTTTAGCGTCGCCTTGTCCATGCGCTTGATGTTCAACAGGTATCTCATGACCATCCGAATGGCGACCGCCTTCATAAAGTTCAAGAAATTCTTCTGAAACGAAATTATCCATCCGATGCGGGCGTGCAGATGGTTGCACACGTCTTTGCCGATCAGGTAATAGTGTTCGAGTTTTTGCTCTATGCGTATCAAGTCCAACTGAATACCGAAATTTCCGATGGCTCTCACTTTGTTGGTGTTGTAATCAAACATATAGGACAAGAGCATTTGGCCGGAGAAATGAAGCGTGTAGCTCCACGCGTAGTTGAACCTCGCGTCTACCGCGCGGTTATGTTCGTTCTGTCGGTTCGCCCGTTCCTTGTTCCGCACCACTAGTGTTATCAAACTTTTCAAGCTCTTGTCCCGGTTTATTTCCGGTTTCACGGCGCTTATCACGTCTGTCACTGGCCGGTTCGGAGTGGTGGGATCGAACACCTTGCATACCTGCGATTTCGTGAACTCTTCGAGCATTCTCGCTACGACGTCGTGCGTTTTCAACACCGTCTTATTGGTTTCGTTTTGCCGACCGATGCTTACTAAGAAAAGGTGCTGCACCAGTTCAGCGTACATGAGAAATATCCACATAACTTCTCCGATGGCATTCCGGCTGCCGTCTTGGTGGTCGTTGTATATAACGGATAACATCTTGTTGGCTTCCAGTGTGAACAGTAGGCTAATTTTCTCTTCCGCCGTCAGATGTTTTTGGTAGTTCAAGTTCAACAGAAACGGTTTTGTCAAATGCATATGGAGTGTAGCACTTACGGCGTAGCTGCACCACAGTTCTTTGTAAAATTGCCGCTTGCATTTGTTTAAAGTGTCAAACTCGTTTGATTCCAATTGAAAGGGGCCGCTGTAATGGCCTCGGTCTACACGTTTTGCCAACGCGATAAATTGGTTTAGATCTTCATTGGAACGAACGTGGTTAATAATTATTATTGTATAAACGGTAAAAATCCATACACAATACATTGTTTTAAAATGCGCCATGATGCTTACTCGCTTTGACAAAGTGAAAAAACTCTATTATAGTTTAGAATACATAAAACTCTTGACGTTATAATCTGAAAGTTGAACCATACAAAATACACATCACCTGAGTACACATTTGAAAATACGTACGTGTAGATTAAAAAACGAAAAACATGTCAAATATTTATAGTAAATATGCTTTTATTAGTCTAAGTCAAAACATATAAACTAAAAATTACAGTAAAAAATACCACGGTAAAAGCTACCTGTGTGTCGGCACAGTGTTACCATCTTACCGACGATCATTCTGGTCAAGGACAGTACTCCTGTCCTGTAGTAATTTAACAGGAGATTTGTGTGCTTCTTGGTTTCCTATGTCCCTTATGTGTTAAACCTAACCTCAATATTACCTTTTGTCTGACTTGGGTCTCATACAGTTAATAACTTGTTTTTAGATTTTAGAACTTTTTTTTACAGATTCACATGGTAGAGTTTACTTGAAAATTATTTTATTAGTTACTCAATATGTTCCGTCCATCATTCTGTGCTGGCTTTTTTTTTTTAAAGTATTTTTAAGCAATCCAAAGTTGCATGATAAATAATATGTTTTCAACGCAATATTGTCACTGCGGCATGGTGTTTACACTTAATGTACACGTGCCGAGAACCTATTGTCAAATACCGACGATATCTGTCTTCGGATCAAGATTATTAATTTTTAAAAATGCAATAAAAAAATCATTTAATTCAAACATTGAATCAAATATTTCAAAATGATATTGTTAAGTTCAGACATTCTAATTTTTTTCTAGCCTTCACAAGTAGGTAGTACATGTTTAATTTAATAATTGTAAGTGTTAAATCCATTTAAACGCGGTTTGCAATGACGTATGGTAGTTTAATAGTTTCAATTTTAATCGTGTGTGTCGTTATAAACTTGCAAAACGAAACGCGAGTGCGGGCCATGCTACAGCCTTGGCTGGTGCCGCTGACACCGGAGCAGACCGTACTAATGGACGGTGTTTACAAAGAAAGTAATTGGACCGATTTGTGGTTTGATAAAGTCAGAGACATGACAGAATGGGTGCCTGTTGAACGTCTAATCAACCCGCACTGTAGGCCCGGGTCGTGGAAGAAGCTGCGCATGATACCCAAGATGATGGGGTGCACTTACGGTGTGCAATTTTCTTGGTTTCTCACGTTGGCCGTCCGCGTGATCGACGAGTGTCGCCGTATGTCGCAAAACGACGTTGGCAACACTGGCGTCGGCGACACTGACGTCGGCGACACTGGCGTCGGCGACACTGACGTCGGCAACACTGGCGTCGGCGACACTGGCGGTCAGTGTTGGAAAGAACTCGCGGTGGTTCTCCAAGGAGGTTCGTATACGACGTTAGAGGTGATGCGCTCGTTGACGTGCACCCATTCCACTATCGGCGACCATAGTAATTCAGACGCGTTTTACCAAACCATGTTGACCATCCAGGATTCCTTGTCTACAGTGGAAATACCAGAAGGCCACGGTTACTTGTACCAGATAGATCATCTTAGCCAAATCTTGAAGGGCTATTTGACTCACAACTGTCGTCCCAAAGAGGTACCGCAGTTGGACACGGACGTACTGATGAAAGAGTTCGAAAGTCGATTCCCCAGTTTTAACAGCTACGATTTCTTTTTGCACACAATGAAATATTACATGGACGACATAAGCACTCATTTGTCGAAAATGGGCTTCCGCTATGACATGGGCACGGGCCACACTAACTATATTTATCCAACGTTGTAGCTATCAAAAGTTAGCGACAGTACACTGTACATTAGTATAGTCTCGGTGTTACAGGCGGATTGTGTAATTTATAAGCATTTTTATTTTATACATAACGTTAGTAACTAGAACTTAATAGATTTAATACAAATTCTTGCAATTACTCCAACATATCATATGTTGTAGCTAATAAGATGATTTATAAAGCCAAATATTTTCGCATTAAATGATTTAAAAAACAGATTGTAAATATTCAATAAATAAACATTTGTTTAGTTATTATTTTGCGTAAATGATTTACAATATGTTTTATGGCATTGTCTAATATTTGAACTAGTAACTTTGTAGAATAAAATTATATTGAATGTATACTTTACATGCAATATAACGTTACTCAAATTTAAAATCAACTTAAAATTGTTCCTCAAAAATATATAAAAAAAATTGTTCTTGTAGTTGTATGCCATTTGTAAGTAGGAGGGATATACGTTACCCTGTTTCTTGTTTGTCTTAGCCAGCTGTGAAGATAATATTAATAGTTTCAACAAAGCATAATATATTTTATACTATGAAATATTGAAAAACGAGCAGATTAATATCGTATGGAATCTTCGTATAGAAGACTAGTTATTAAAAAAAAAAAATGCAATAAATCAAGACAAAATCATTTAATTGTTATGTATTATTGACAAACACTTCATATTAAGTAGTTTGGATTCTAAGATTCTAATGGACTATATTTTCGGTATTTTACAACGGATTCTCAAAGCTCATATAATGCAAAATTTAGAACACAGACTGTATTTATTTATTTTGTACACGTGTATCATTAATTGTTTATCAATTAACGTGTAATTTTAGCCAATTGAGTAAACTAAAATATTGGTCTAAAATGTAAACTACTTCGATTTAAAGTAGGCCTACTAAAAAGGAATGCTGTGTTTTTAAAAATTTGGTTCTCCCTCCCTGTGTCTGGAGAAGGGGAGCAGTTGATTTAGGCCACTTAACCGTGTTGTTAGTTCTTACTTCTCTTTAACTTATAAAATATATATTGCCCTTTCGAAAAATCGCTTATGACAAGAAAGCCTACAAAGATATTAGACATAGAAACTAGGTCACTATTTCAAAATGTTTTTTTTGCCTTTTTGGGGGTTTGTTACGGCCAAATTTCGATGTCAATAGAAAATATCACTTAACTACTGTTAAATAATTATCAAGGGGACTTGGAGATATTTTGAAAGTCAAATCCCTATCTAAAACCAACTCTATTTGTGTCACTGTTAACTAGAAAAAACACTTTTCTTTTTAAATCGATAATTACTTGAACTAAAGTTTTTTTCGGGATAGATAAAAAACTAAAAAGTACACAATTTCAGGGAAAAAAAATATTTGATTACATTTATTGTATTGTTTGTAGTAATTATGACATTTTATTATTATCGCGATTAAATTTTATAGATTAAATTATTATGTATTATACTTAATAATAGTTAAAATAAAATGTAGTATTATGTCCACGAGGACGTCCGAGGAAAAGATGGATGGACGTGGTCGAGGAGGATCTAAAAAGGATAGGAGTAAATGATTGGAGAAATATAATTCATGATCCAGAAAAGTGGCATGAAGTTGTGATAGCGGCAAAAACTCTTGTAGAGTAGATAAAGCCAGAAGAAGAAGAAGTATTATGTCGACAGTTATGATTATGTTAGTTATTTTATTCCCATTCTTACTACTTAGAATAAGGATTTCTCTTATTCTAAGCAGTATGAATATTTTTCTCAATTGTCGAAATCTATAAAATAACATTAATCTGTACTATTCAAAAGCGTAGATATATGTTTCTATGTACTTGGGTGAAATGTCTTCGGTCTGTAACTGGTTCAATAAATACTGGTAGCCGGATTGACTGAAAAAATATACCAAAGTAGCAAGTATGTGCATGCGCAGCCAAGATAACGCGTTTTGGTTTCTGCGCAAGTATGCTCTCTCGTGGAACTGAGTATAATAAAAGCTTATCTTCGTCAATAATTTTAATACTCACTTTGGTTTTTTAATTTGAATCACTTCTGTAAATCAGGATTTTTTTTTAATAATAATATAATATTATGCATTACAAAATAACAGTAAAATATCCGTGCTTAAATTATTTACCTAATAGCCATAGCTGTAACTAAGGATGAGCCTAACCCCACCAATTGGTTTAAAGTCGAATGAAAGTTTAAATTTAATTAGTATAAATTTACAAAAAAAAAAAAAATGTACTCTTAAAGAAAAATGTTTGACATAATTGTTCGTTTTCTTTCTCATTTGTGTATGTAAATAAACTAATTTAGATCTTTCTATTACTAATAGTAGGATTTCTTGTTAAAGGCCCTTTTCTGCCATGCAACGAGGTTTGCTAGAACAACTAAATAATATTATTTTTAATTGTTTCACCATCTAAATTAAATTATTTTTAATAGTTATTAACTTGGGCAATCGGTCTAAATCTGGACTTTTTTTATTGTTTTTTTTTTTGCACACAAAACTAACTTAAACTGAAATTTAAAAAATGTCATAATACTTGGATTATTAGGGTCTGGATTTTGGCCATCTGCAAGGGAATATAATATGAATTATATTATTTTATCTAAAAACCCGTATAATTTTACTATTACCTTGAACCACCAACATCCAATAGCCGGTAGCTGAAATACAAGAGAACATTATTTGGAGAAAAGTTATGTAAACAATTCTCAAAGACATTTATTCCAATTTTATTTTAATGTGACAATGGTGACTTCATCGACTTTTGTTCGTTTAAAGAACTTTTAGAGTACAATTTCTGACCTAGAGTGTATAGAACATGACACTTAAAATAACCATCAATGTAAAATATCACTTAACCTAAATTTGAGAACAAGTCACTTTATTTTAAATCAATTTTGACAAACAAATTTCAATGTTTTCCAAAACTGTTATCAGCCAGCGATTCAATGTTTCCAATTTTATTTCAATGTTATAAAATATAATACAATTACAATTGTCTTGGACGTCCTGTAAGAAAACTAAGTCGCCTTTCTTGAATGAATCTAAACAAAAAAATAAGCGGTGTGTGTTTACTGCGAAATGAAAGATGGTTAGATAAATATCATAAATTGACTAAGTACAGAGTACAATATATTATAATATTTTTATTTTATGGATTATGGTAAAAAATAATAAATACATTAAGCGTACCGTTTGCCAACGTACCGATACAGAATATACAAAATAAAGCATTAAAGCAATAATAATTCATAGAAGCCATATTAATTAATAAGAGTAGATTATTAAGGCGCACGTTAATATTAAATGTTTAGAAGAACTGTGGTTAAATTAAATAATGGAACTTATCGAGGTATAATATATCTATCCGATTCAGTGAACAAAATCAGACAGTTCACCTGATCACATAAAGAAAGCAGTAATAAAATATAATAATAATGATTAATAGGTACGTTTTAAAATACTAAACAAGTAGAAATCTACAGATTCGCATCGAAGCGTCTATTTTATATTTTATTCTGTATTGTAATATTGTACCTACATTTTGTACACTGTAATTTTTTTTTAAGCATTATTTAATATTAATTTTACGACAATTCGTATGGGTGTAGTGGGTGTGTGAGAAATACAAAATAATCCTTATCATACCCGAAAAAGATTTTTTCTTCCATGAGTTTTAATTTTTTATCAACGTTGTTTTTCCATGATTAACCGACAACTAACATGATATTATTGTTATCAAAACTGACTGACAACAAAATTGCATTATGCTCTAATCACACACGGCACGGCATTTTTGGGTAACTACTTAAAACGTTTTGATTTTTGTGTTGAATAGGTATCAAATAAATACTATAGAATAAGGCGATGGTCGTATGATTTTGTTAGGAATACATAATATTATGATTTTATAGCGTTTATATTAGTGTAAGAGTTTTTGCGCGATTGGTAATTTATGGGAAAGCTACTATTTTTCGTGTATGCGATTGGCGTCATAATAAGAATCTACTTGGGCTTGAATGATTTAAGCGCTGCAATTGCGGATAGAGTCGAAGTCTCCACGCCGTTGAACTCTTGGAAAAGAGGTTTGTATACAAGACAATTTATACATATCAGGTATAAATTACAATATTTTTGTTTTGTGTAAATTCCGTATCATATATGGGTGTGTCCTAAGGCTTCTCAAGTGTATAATATGTACATCTCATTAACGACTTTTGGGATTATTTAAATTAAACAAGGAAATCAACAAAAGATTCAATTTGGATTTTCTATTTGTGTTGTCTTCAAATGAATACGGACTATAATATAATGATTGTAACATGTAGACCGTTATTATTTTGTGTTTATGCCTTATTTTTTCGAGCTTACATTAGTTACTTGGCTATTTTATAATTAAATTGGTGTCTTTTTCTAATTTATTACCTTTTGCGTTTCAGTAATAGAAGGAGTGTCTTTGTACAATCAGAATATCAACCCATATGATGGGGACTTGTTCCACGAAACGCCGTTGGTTCTTATATTTTTCAGTTACTTGACGTCGACCCTTTCGGAACTTCACATTTACCTAGTGTTTATCGTCTGTGATGTTATTACTGCAATCATACTGTATTACACATCGAAGATTTACACTGAAAATCTAGTGAGTGGTTTTATTATTTTATCAACAAAACCTGTTTTGATGACATATTTTTTTTTTTTTTTGTTTAGCTTAAAGAGCAATTGCGAATCAAAGACGTACACATTAAACAATCGACTGAACTTTTGATACCAATTCATTTTGCTGTTGTAAATCCAGTTTACGTGTGTTCTGTTTATTTACTTAATCCGTACACGGTGTTGAACTGTGTGGCAAAGACGACTACCGTTTTCAATAATCTATTTTTAGCAATTTGTTTATTTGCTATGGTAAAACGTAAGTAGAGCTAGTCGTTGTAAGTAAAATAGTTGTGACATATTCAAGTTTATTTGTGAGGTTAAGATTGTATTTCATATCGTAATTATCAGTCTTGCATAAATTATTTTTTTTTTTAATATCAGAATACATATTCAGTAGAATAAGTACAAAAGTGTTCTAAAAATGAAAAAAAAAAAAACATTGTTAACATTATTCATTTGAGTACTTTGAATACTATATAGTTTACATTTATTTATTATTTTTTTTACAAGACTGATAATTATTAACTGTATAGATTTTAATGTTTAATCAATGGAATTATCAGGCTGTCGTAAAGCCAGAGCCTGACGTTATCTTGCACTATGCTGATACGGGCGTTATTCAAAGCAATGTCATGCCTTACCGAACTAATAATAATGATTCTTTTTTTTTTTTTAATAATATAGTAATAATTAATATTCTGTTTTCATACAGGCCAGACGATTTTGGGCAGTTTTAGTTTAGCATTGGCGTCGTTGTCAACGTTTTACACTTTCGGTCTGGTAGCGCCTCTGATGATAAGCTGTGCGCCGACTGAAAGTAAAAAAAAGACTGGTTCTTTTGTTGTCACGTTCCTATTATGTACACTAATTACCTGCTCCTTGTTATGTGCGTGTTCCGTCGTAATGGGTGAATGGATGTTCCTAGATACAGTATATGGTTTCATGTGAGTTCACACAAACTTTGTTATATAAAGTAAATAAAAAATATTGTTTGTATTTCAGATTGAATATCAGAGACTTAAAGCCAAACATCGGATTGTTTTGGTATTTTTTTACCGAAATGTTTGAACATTTCCGCGCGCTGTTTGTGTGTGCGTTTCAACTGAACGCGTCAGTTTTGTACGTAATCCCCCTAAGCATTCGTCTCCGTCGTGATCCGCTTTTGTTGGCTACTAGCCTATTGGCGTTGACGGCAGTATTCAAATCGTATCCGAGTATTGGGGACGTCGGATTTTACTTAAGTCTGCTACCGATGCACAGGCATAATTTTTATTGTACGTGAAACATTTTTTTTTTTATAAATATATAAAATAATCATTATTGTTATTATTAACTTTACTGACCAATTGCAATTTTTGATTTTAGTTATGCAACAGGCATTTATCGTAGCGTGTTTTTTTGTCGGCTGTACCGTATTTGCGCCTACCGTTTGGCATCTCTGGATCTATTCGAGATCGGCAAACGCAAATTTCTACTTCGGAGTAACACTAGCGTTCGCCACGACACAAGTAATTTGTATTTTTAAATCATTTTAATGTCCTTGCGTATTTTTACTGCACACACGTCGAAAATAATGTAAAATTGAAACTAAAAATGTGTTATTTATGTCATTTGTTTTAATAGTATCACAAAGGTTTTATAACAATCGTTAACCGTAATTTTTGTTTTCAGATATTTTTAATTACCGATTTACTGTTTGCATACATCAAACGAGAGTTTGCTATGAAACACGGTATGAAACGCAAAATTAACGGCAAAGAAGCAAGACTAATGCTCGATTAATTATCAAACGGTCCTGTGGAGTTCTGTCAAGTTTATTTGGACCTTTTACCGATATTCGTATAATAATTATAATAATAAGTAACATTTGTGTTATTTTTATTTTTTCAACAAAAAAAAATTAAACTGTAGAAAACACGAGTTAATGGGTTTGTTGACAATTTTCTATGTCCCTGTAATTCCTAGTGACAAATTTTTATATTTATAAATAAATAAAAGAAAATGATTGTTTGACGACTGCGTGGTCTCAAATAGTGTGCATTCTATTTTGTTCTGTGATATCGAAAATGGTTTTTTTCTTTGTGTACGATTCTTTTATCACGTCATCGTATCTAGGCGGTGGCGTGATGACCGCTTCGTATCTTGGCGGAGTCTCTTGCATTGTGTTTGGTGCAAAATATGTTTCCGGTATCTCGCAACAATCCTAAATTATACCACTTGCATATTAGATATTAAATATTTATAACAATTGATCAATTAAACATGTTTACTAAAAGCGTTCGTACCTGTTGCAAGGACCACTGTAGCGCTTCATAGTAAGCGTTGGAGTTGATGTCGATCCAAAAAGGTTGCGGCCGATCATCACACGACGACGAATCAAACTTATTGTCTTTCCATCGGCAACAGTAACACATCCACAGGATAAACATTACCATGCTGCTCATCATTACTCTGTTTGAAAAACAAACATTATTGAAGTTTGTTAATCATTCGTGTAAAATTATAAATTATTTTATAGACGAATACCTACGTTTTAAGTTGACGATTAATTCTGTACATAAATAATAGCATTTTTTTTTATCTACCGAACAGATTAGAAGAAAACAAAAATTTGGTTTCAAGTATAGAAAATTGAAAAAGTCTAAAAATAAAGGCTAATAAAAATAATATTTAAAAAAGTTATTTCTTTCTTCCCGGAACAATTTTTTTTAATTTATTGATTTTCTTTGGTATGTTCAATTTTTATATTTATTAATTAAATAGGATTTAAGAATAAATACATTTATAAAGAGAAGTGAAATTTCATAGAAAAGCAGAAAATTATCTTTTTACACATAATTATTTCAACTATTTTGATTACTGTGGTCGTTTTTTAGACTTACTTTTCTATGAAATATCATTTTTTTATCCTGAATGTTTTAATTTGGAGAACCCGGTTTGAAATTTACACTTCTTATATTTTTATGTAAAATTATATCAGCTTTCTGAAAAAAAATTCTCAATTTTTCGACAACACGGAAAATAAACTTTTTAGACTATAAACTAAATTTTAACGCCTTTTAAAAAAATATATATATATTATTTTCAAAAAGCTGAGAATATTTTACATAAGAAACGGATTTTTAATCATTTTTTTGTGTGGCCGAAGATACTATAAAAATAACAGTAAAGAAAAAACTAAACATACTTTATACGTCCGGCTACAAAAAAAAATCCTAAAAATGTTGAGAACATTCATTTCGCCCCAACAGACATGCAAGGTAAGTTATATATATATATATTTGGTATTATATAATATTACACTAATGTTTGAATTTGATTTTTGAAAAGGGTACATACCTACTTATGATATTTATATATACAGGTATTTTGAGTTTACTTCAGTTTTATGCTTACTAAAAATATTTTTAATTATGTTAATGGACGGCGGTAATTAAAAAAATACAAACCTTGGTTGGGTTAGTTTATTTTATGTAGTTGTATGTTGCATCTTTTTAGTTTTATTTTTATTGCGAAATCGCACGGTACTATTTACTCTAAATAATTATAATTAACAAAACGTTATTTGAGTGCACGGGCATATTATGTAAAATATGAATAGAATTTAAACAATACCAATTGTTACAATAACGATATACCTACTGCTGCGAGGACCTTGCGAGTGGTTTTTGTAAATGAAAATAAAAACCAAATATTATTAAATTTGTTGGCAGTAAAAAGGTTAGGCTTTTTAAAAGGCGTGATTTAGAACTGGAAAAACCCAACCAAATCGTTTCCGGTAGTGTACAAATCGAAATATTATACATCAAACTAAATATCTATCACATGCTATTAAGTGGTGGAACTTTTGACAAATTCGCTCTTCAACTGACATATTATAATTTATACAACTGCTGTAATGTGGGTCTTCTTTTTTCACTCAATGTTATTATTGTTCGCCACATTGCATTATAATTGTTACCTATTGTACTACTTTTTATTGTAAAATATGTCATTAGTAAAAAAAAAAAAAAACAAAGCGTTTGAAATCAAATCGGAAACGATTATTTTCATTTTGTAACCACCGAGTTGAATATAATTTATGGGGTTTTTTTTTTTTCCAGAGCGAAAGCGCGACTTGTCGGCAAAATAGGTTTACAATAACAATATGATTGACGCGGCGTTTTGTACGATATTATTTCTTTAATAATTTGCCTATATTGTGTAATAATCGATCAATAAACAGGAACTATATATTTGATCAATAATTGTGTTTCACATTACCCTCCCAAAAGAATATTAACTCCACCCGGCGAAGTGTCGTGTTGGTGGTTTTGTTGCTCGTGGTGTTGTTCCGGTGCCTGTTGTTTGGCCTTGTGCTGTTGAGCAGCTAATGTAATGGCAAAGTGTTGACCAAAAGTTATCATCCTGTTAAAAAAAAAAAAAAAAAAGGGAAATTTATATAATTTTACATCGAAACAGGTTAATTAATACAATGTGTCCCTATTAAAGGAATTGCATGCGGTCTGGTTCCTATTTTGTTGTCGACCGAAATGCCAGATAAAATGTACCTAATTAAAAATAGGTAAAATCTACCTACTCAGTGTGGTCGGATTTCAATGTCGTATAAAATATCAGAATAAAATATGATTCCAATTTCCTTAAAATTGTAATTTTCTCGTTCAAAATAGCACACCGGGTCTTGGCCGGTTAATCAAAAATAATTCATAGAATACAACGTTGGTAAAATAAAAATTTTCCTCGGTTATTGGAGTTATGGAAAATAAAAAAACAGTAATCAATACAATAATTACTTTGATAAATTTACATTGTAAGAAAATAATTCTGGTATTTTTTTTCTTGCAATAAGTATTATCATTACATGTTTGACGTTACTGGGCTTTAAGTATGGTACGCACTACGCATAATCATTTTGGATTTACATATGGGTTTGGAAAAAAAGCTTTTTTTTTTAATTTGTATTCGAGCCAAGGACTAGCTATGAACCAAAAAAAAACATTAAATTTAACAAGTTCACCACTTTCCCTTCAAAACCGATAAAAGCACCCAAAAAATCTACATATTTTTCAACTCAAAATTAAAAAAAATTATCTAATTCCAAATGTGTATGAAATATTCTTTAGATAAAGCACAATCGATGTATGTTGACAAACCAAAGAAAAATATATATATATAAATCCTTTCCTCGAGAATTTGTGGACATTTTTTCTTTATTTTACTTCTTCTTGAGTGCAAAATCTGTCATCTATAGTCATTGTTTTTTTTTCTCTTGTACATAGCGGTTATAAATATTACTTATTCTACTCGTTGTTTAGTATGGATTAAAATTAAATGTTGTTGTTTGTATGGTAAAATTAAAAAAAAAAAGTTATAATAATAATACTTATAATCAGCTTCTGTTATGCCCCCAAAGTGGTGTTTTTTTTTTGTAGGTAGCAATTCATTAATTTTGGTCGGTACCAAAATTAATGGTATCGGTTTGACAAAATTATTTTTTGTAAACCAAATATTGTTTTTTTTTAAATCAATAGTAGGTTTTATAAATAATATTATGTTTTAATAGTTTGTTGTATAAATAACACCGTCATAGCTTTGAGAATCCGTTGTCATATATCCAATGGCATATACAGACTAGTTAATTTAATATTTAATAAATAAACAAAACGTTAGATGTTTCCATAATTCATGATGTTGTATACTGTGGACATTTACCATATTATGTCATAGGAAAACAATTCTGAACGATCTGAGTATTGCGGTTGTCCATGTTTATAAATTGATACATTTTAGTTGTTTGGTAAACATTTTTCAGATGTAGGTCGTACTATCTAAAACCCTTTCCCTCATAAGAGGTGGAAACTTCAACTTCATTTTATTTTTCCCAGTGTAGTTTTGTGTTATGAGGCCTTAAAATAATTTTAACCACATTAGTTAAAATAATTGAAATGTTTAGTTGCAGAGTGTATAAATCAGCGTAGAGTTACTTATCTGTGTCTGTTGTGTGACCAATTCCGCCATTAAGTATTAAGTACATATTACTTGCCGGTTAAATAATCGCATTGTTAAAAGGTAATAATATTTTTACTTTGTTTTTAGTATTAATGTGTTATGTTTGATATTTTTTTACTTTTACTCATTACAGCGAATCGCCTTTGTGTTTTGTGTAGTGTAACTCTTAAATAATAAACACTTTCAAGAGTCAGATAATTATGTAAATGCTATACATTTTTTTTTTTTTTAGTGAGGAAAATTACTTTAATACCGTTTTGTGTAAAATATAGTTAAGAAATCATACACTTTTCTCAAAGGACCATAGAAACTCTTTAGTTCCTTCAATTTAAAGTATACAGTGTACTTAAAATAATCGTACGATGAGTTTAATGACATGTCAAGGTAACATCTGACATTCTTCAAGCAAGACCTGTCAGAAGGTCAATTGCCGGCGCAAAATTGTTTTGTATTTATTTTAACGGTGAAAACAATTTCATTGTGCTAACTATGGTTTCATTTTGCAAACGATTACTAACATTGGGAAATACTTGGAACGAATCGACTAAATTCAAATGGCGTGAGTGGTTTTTTTTTTTTTTTAATGAGAGGTCGCTTTTTATTTTTGGTTTGATATTTTCAAGTATAAAATATCATGTTAACGTGCGATTATGACATGTTATTAGATCACACAAACGCCCACAAACGATCATTTATTTTATTCACTATCATGTCAACGTACATTCCAAAGGAACATGTGCACTTATACATTATGTACATTGCCCGTGTTCGTTTAGCCTTTAATAAACATTTGCCACCAACCCTATTAATGATTTGATCCACATTACTTAACGCGCCCAGTCGGTGTGTACTTTAGCACAGTCGTTGAACTCAGCAACGTTTAATCTTTCACACAACGGTGTACACACAATTTGCATACTCTCTATTCGTCGTAGGTTCCAATTTAAATAAAATCAAGTGTAAAGATGAAAAATATATGACGGCATAGTAAAATACTGGCGGCGGATTTCAGAGGGTGTCAAGTTTTCATGTTGGACCGGACCGCAAGCTGAGCATAAGCCACAGTTGTAGCTGTTTTTTTCACAATGTGTTATTGGCATCATTGACCCCGGGGGAGGCCTGGAGTTTGGAGAATGTAGTATTGATTTTGAACGTTCAAGTAATCGAGGATCTCGCTAAACTATAAGACTTATTTTGAACGGTCATATGCTCGATAATAATATTTGAGATGTCCAATCCAAGGGGCAGGCAGTTTAGTGCTTGCGTGCACGCTGTTTTAACACTCAACGTTGATTGATCGATTAGGTTAACCGACGGGATTGGCTAAATTTGATTTGAAAACGAACGGTGTTGAGTTTTCCCTGGCCAATCTCTTTCAAACCCAAAATCAGTCGAAGCTATTCATAAAATAACATATAGGTGGTTAATGCTATATTGATTGCTCTAATCCAATCTTGCTATTTTCTATACAATTGCCGAATAGGAGACTATATATATATATTCATACACTAGACACCGTTCCATTCAGACTGCAGTCTTATGTAATGCAATTATGTGGCAATTGTATTCAGCTAAAGATGGGTGTTTAGAAGATATTTCTATCTACTATGAAATGCCATCATATTCCTATTTAATATTTTAACCTTAATACTATTGAACACGGCTCTACTGGTTTTCAATTGATTTTGCCAGTGGAATTTCAACACAAAGAAATTGTGTTATTATATTATGTATTTTACAAACGGGGTTAGGTTATGTTTCCACTAGTAGTTGCCCCTTATAAATCCTTATTAATCTTATAAGCCTTATTTCGGTTAGTGCTGATATGTGATGATGCCAATTGTATTTAACTAACGCGTTAAGCTATTGTAAAAACAAACGCTGGAAAAACAATTAATTATCTCACATCCGATCAGTCCACACTCATATTATCAGCATAAAATTAGCATACAGCAAAAACTTGACGGTAAATTCATAGTTTGTCTTAAATAAACTTTTGGTCTTTGCTTTTGGTGTCGATTAACAGCAAAGACGAATGTTATTATTTTTACTTCTCTTTTGGTAATGTAAAAATGTAGTACTAATATTTATTGTCGGCAAAAACAATGATGTGACATTTGAAAAAAATATTTTGACTTGCTTATTGAATATACGACGATACTAAAAATGCGATTTCAATAGAAAGATTTGAAATTTTAAAGAAAAAAATGCTTATGTTTTAGTAACATACATGTTATTTGACACAATTATAAGCAATTCTTGATAATTTATTTACATACAAGTTAAACAATAGCATTGTATTAAATAATTTATAAATATTAATACTTATGATTGGCTAGTTGAGTTATTGAAGTTATTCCTGTTATTATTTTAAAGTTTTTTTTTGTGTCTAATTTATTAAAAAGAACATTTATTGTATGTGTTTTTTTTCAAGCTATTAATTAGGTAAGTATTTATTGGAGGAAACAATTTGACAAATTATTTTATCTCATATCTTATAGCACGGTTATATGTCTTTGGAAAAACTAAAAAAAATAAAATTTACTCAAGTCCATTTTCCCTTGATACATTTTATTTTATTAGATTAAAAATTTCATGATAAAAAATATTAAAATTTTGTACAGCTTACATTTGTATTGCCATTAATTATTCAAAGTATGCACATCTAAATCGTTATATGTAATACAATATATTTGATGTTGTCTCTTTGCTAAATGTTTATTAATTGAAATAATTTTTGAAATACCTAATTATTTTAAACGCCTGAATATAATTAAATAATTAATATAAAACGTTTAGTAAAATGTAAACATTTCAGATAAGTATTTGTTTAAATAATTTAGACACAAAAACTATTCTTTTTATGTAGTCAATATTGTAAGTAATAAGTATTCTACTACTTATATTATACTTTTAAGGAGTTTTATTATGTATGCAAAACGTTGAACGTCCCAATCAGTGTGTTTAAATTAACAATAACGGTTTGCTTGCTTTAATTTAATTTCGATTACAATACCAAATTCAGCAAAATAATTTTCTTGTATCTTTATTGCGGGTACATTTTCTTCTATATAAGTAAAAATTTAATAAAATGAGGAAAAATATTGTAGGAAATCCTGATTGTGTTTGTGTGCCTAAACGAAAACAATTTTTGTACACGATCAACGTTAATAAGACTTTTTTAAAACTTTTCTGAGAGAAATGTATTTTGTTGAAAGTTTTTTTTATAAGTATATAGTCTGGTTAAGACAAAACGACGGCAAGCTTATAGATATGGACAATGGACATACAAGTGTTGACTTAGGTTATATTTAGACCGGTATAACTCCAATCCATACTTGACAAGGTCGTGTAGGCGTGTGAGTAGGTGCAAACATCAATTTTTTAGACTAATCAATACAGCCAATTCGATTTTACCTAACCCAAGTCTTTGTTAAATGACACATTTTTTTCCCCCATAATACCTTTACCGTTTATTATGATTGAAATATTCGATATTTAAAGCGTCATTGGTTTTTCTACACAAGTTTATGCTTAAGTTTATGTTCAACGGACCGAAAGACAGCGTATTAAAATATGGACCCTTTCTTTTTCACATTGAGTATGACTCATTTTTCAAAACATGTCAAAGCACTAAAAAACCTGACCTAACCTGACCATGGAATGCAACGAGATCTAGTACATGAACTACTTATTCAGACGTTTTAATATAACAGCTATAGTTTACCTACACTCCACACTTATCCCTTGTATTATAGGATTTAGGATGTCTTTCGGTTTAGAGCTGTTTGCCCTCGGCTCGTTGAAATATGCAAATATTTCATTCACTTTAAAGCTTTTGAATGGTCTAATTTCACGCCTCGGGCTCTTGCGACTAGAATACTTCCAAGTCCTTCAATAATATACCTGTCACGTTCTTGACAACATTCTCCTAACTAACTCACAAACTTCCCCACGACAATAGTGATCCGACAGATAATGAAATTCGTGTTATCCTTAATTAATAAGTTTATTTTCGCTATCTGCAATCCATACTATCTCTTTCTCTAAGGCGTCTGCACTGTGCGCTTGTCTGTCCTGTATTCTTGGCCAATGTTCATTTCTATGGTACTTTTCTGTTCAACCAATTATGATTGCCATGTCTCCTCGTCTCGATTCAAACCCTTCCCCCCCCCCCAACGATCAGAAGAGCTACACACAATATCAATCCAGAAGGGTGTGATCGAGGGCAAAATAATCGCCTGACGACCTGACAAAAGACTTGTCAGGAGTCGTTGTGTAAAAAAGTGATAAAAGAAATAATTGCAAATTATCGGTTATTTTGTCTCTGGCATTTTTTTTTTTTTTTTGTTTAACCTAACAAGAACAGAATACCTAACCGTCAATTTGAACAAAACACCTGCTACAGTGTTCCACCTGACAAACCGAATAAGAAATTAAATTTGCTCTAATGAGAGACAGAAAGTCCCGAAATACCTTGGTGTCGGTTGGACAGAACATAAACGTTTCAACAACATTTAGATGGTGTAAAAAACAAAGCAAAGACAAGAAAACTCTATAGATCATTGTGTGAACTATCCAAAAGAAGTCTGGGCTCCAAGGCAAGGGTACTTTGTTCTTCAGCTGTTGCATAATTTGTGTCCCAATATGGACATCAAGAAGCGTCCAAACTAACAATGTTAAATAATAAATAATCGGGAAGTGCTCGAAATTTGAGTTGCAAGATTCCACCCGGAACGACAAACAAGATTGCGAGTTCATAAAAACGTTATAAAAATACTAAAGTCAGTGATTAAAATTACAATTTTGGCGGATAACATTTTATTGAAACCTGTAGAAAAGGTAACAAAGTACTTTGCTGATCTCGTAATTAAAAAAAACAAAAATTAATGAGGTATAATTTAACATCAAAGATACGAAGTAGGTATATATATTTGTATAATTAATTCCTCGAACACAAATATATTATTATAATTTTAAGTAATCCTAACTAAGAGTTCTTGATCGGCTCAAAGTACTGAACAGGAATTATTCTAACACCATTTGACATATTTTGTATAGGATTTCAAGTCCTTAGAGTTTAAGGATTTACCATAGAATCCAAAAACGTCGTTGAAGACCCTGAGGAAATCCATATTAGCAATAAAAGTTTTCCCAGAATACCCGGGAAGCTAATTAGGGAATATTACAGTCGCATAATAAAAGGTGATCATATTTTTTATCGCGAACCACTCAATATCTCATACGGTAAACGAACGGTGTTCGTATTAAAATAAGAAATTAATTATTTTTTTTTCATAACGTTTTTATATAATGTGATCTTAATTTTCCACAAACTTTTCATTGTTCTTACACCGACTTTTGAAACCCAAACGGTAATGCGTGTACATTTCATCGACTTTTTAAATCGAGAAAAACGTACTAAAAATGTTGACTGGTCGACGACCGGATAGTTTTGGACAACTCACTATTTCTGAAGTGTTCAAAGTTTGTAGTTTAGAGCAGGAGCACTTCCCGTGCCATCTTAACGATAATCGTTCAAAACCGGTTATCGACATTTTTAAAAAGATCACATTGTATACACAAGAACAATGACACGAAGAAGAAGAAAAATATACATTTCTTGTTAAACCTTAAACGTGATACACAGTGCGGATCGGCCTGCAATTGGCCGCGGTCGGCGTGTGTGGTCGACTTACTCGAAGAAACCGGTGTGAGGCTGCGGCTGCGGCGGCGGCTGTCCGGTGACGGGTCAGCGTCTCGCGAGGGCGGTCTTGTGCGACGGGCGGCCCGCGGTCGATTGGGACGCGCCCGCGACGGTAGCTGCTGCTGCTGCTGCTGTTGTAGTGCGACGACGGCCAACGGCGGCGAACACGCAACAACCGGCACCCATACGCGTACGCCGTACACGACCGTGCGGACAGACCTGTGCCCGTGTAGTTGTGGCGGCGGCGGCGGCGGCGGCTGATGTCTACCGGCGTCCACCGTGGCGTGTACGAAACCAAATCGACCGGCACTCGACGGCCGAATAATGCTCGTAACCCGATCAATCTCGCTGCCGCTGCCGCCGCCGCCGCGCGCCGCCACCGCCGGCCGTCGAGGCAAGACCTTTGCGTGCGTTCCCATGGTTAGCGTGCACATGCATAAATAAACAAACCAACACGACTGCGATGCCCGTATTATATATATATATATATATATGTATACGTGTGTCCTCGAGTAATATTGTAACATATATTATATATATTTGAATATACCTACGTGCCGTGTGCACAACGCATTATGTATGGCCTACCTAGCCGAGCTTATCGATAGGATAATAACAAAAAAACAGCTAACCGTACCCCGGAGAGGCGGTAACGGCCAACCAAAGGGATCCGGCACGGTCGAGCGCTTGGCGTCCCAGCGACCTTGACACCGGTCGAGCGTCGATGACGCTTCGACCACGACCACGATGACGGCCGCCGGTTGACGTCACTCGACGGTTGATTTTTAATATACATTTAAGCTTGAGCTGACAAGAAATTGTTATTTATTTTTGCCCGTCGACTTCAGCTAACCAGTAACCACACAAGTGGTTATATATAATAAACTAGATTGCTAACTATCGATAAGAATTCAAGTGGTCGGCTTGGGTCAAAAAGGGCTAATCTTACTTTTTTGTAACTTTTGGCAAATGGACTTAAAAGTTTTCGTTTTCCATTATGATCCATCCTAACAATTTTATCAAGCTCTAAGTTATATTTAATTGATGCCCTCAGAGTGCCATTTTTCCATACGATTTAGATGATGTTTCAATATTTATAATTAGTGGAATAACTCATTTTCGCCAAAAAGTGAGATTAGCCCTTTTTGATCCAAGCTCCAGGTGTATAATATATTTTTGATTCTGCGCTAACAACAGCTTAATTTGTAATTTTTATAAACAGTGATAACAGTTATAAACATGTGATAAGGTTCTAATTCCCACAAAGATGGCGGAAAATGGTAACTTCAATTATTATCTTTATTGGCGACATGTACACTTGGCAATCTAGTTTATTATATTATATAAACGATTTATGTGAAAGTTAGTACTTACATGGAAATCATATATTTTCTTTTTGAAATACTAATAATAATTAATATCGTGGTGAATATTGGTTTTATGATACAAATATTAGTAAATTGTTCAAAATATTCATCGAGGTAATATGACAAATTAGTTGTAGGGAATTTCAGTTGCAAACATATTTTTAGTCAAATTACTCCCAAACAGATATTTTTGGAATAATTTGCCTTCTGCACAACGCCATTCAATTATTTCTTAGTCCACATCAGTGCCGGCTTTACGAATAGAAAGAAAAGTAAACAATTATCGCAAAACTAATGGCTGGAAATCGGTGAAAATAATCTCTGGAGGTCGATAAATGGCAAAAACCTTCAAATATTATTATTGGCACAAATCAAGAAAGGTCGTCGTCTCTAATCGTATGAGATGTTTCCAAAGCCATTTAACGACTGTAAAGACGGATCTACGAATCGAGCACCGCATTGGGAACGTGTTCGGTACTTAATTAAATCATAAGAGAAATTGCAAAAATCAGCACATAAGAGAAATTGCCAAAATCAAATAATGTTAGCCGAAATGAATGTTCGCCGGATGTTAGGATTTACTATTATTCATTTGGGGTTGTTATTAAGGTTATTATTGAGCTATTGTTGTGCACAATGGTTGCTGATTATGAATAGTGTTGGTTGGCCAACAAGCTAATAAGGTAACATTGAAACCAACCAGTAAGATCACAGTGCAGTCTGATGTGTTTGATATAATACATTTTCTCAGTTTAATTTTGTTTAGTGTACTGTAATTTATTAAACATAAATTTAAGACTTTGGTAATGGGCAATTTTTCGGTCTACCTTTTGAGAAGGCGCCGTTTATTCAAAATTGGTTTCTTCGACTCACGCTAATCTTATTGTTTCTCATAAAAGTACGTGGGCTTCATGAAATTTAAAAATAACCAGTAAATTATTATAATAGTATGTAAATATTTTGGGTGTTTTTTTTTTGTGTGCAAATTTAACATTGGATAACCGTAAATTATTATAAAAGAGCCGGCAAATTGTATAAAATGTAATTTAATACATAGCGAAAATAGCCGTACTCAAATTCGTATCTTACTTATTATTATACAAATTCTGTATAATATGCAAAGTTGGGCATTATTAGAATTTTGTTTTTTAATTTAAATTTAAATACTATCTTTTATTTAACGGATTGTTAGTGTTCAGATATTCGTGGCAAATTAATTTTTTTATTTACTATTCATCCAAAAATTATTATTCGTTATCTAATTATTGCTTATTGAACACAAGTATGTATTATTTCAAACATTTAAAATAAAAACAATATCTTATATTTAATTATGTTAACAAATTACATTTTTATGTTTGAATACATTATTTTGGCAAATATGACTTAAGCCTCTAAGCGAGTAAATTACAACCCTTTTAAATTGTATACACTCTAACAACAATAATTTAAAGAGTTTTATAACAAATATTAACTCAGAGCTTTATGGAAAATATCAAATTTTAGTTTTAATTTGCCGAAAGTACCTAAAAACTTAACTCTTTTTTTTTTTACTGTTTATAAACATGAAAATAAAAGTAAAAACCCAAGTGGTATGCAATTTTATAGGAATTTTTTTAATTTCTGTTGGTGTAACCAGCTAACAGGTTTTGGCTTTATTATTAAACAATTTGTATGCAGTTTCATATTTTTTTCCCTAAACTAAAACCGATAAAAACAGCCGTTTCAATGTTCTTAGAGAATTTAAAAACTAAAATAATTGTTGTATATATATATTTTTTTTCCACAGGAATATTTGTATAAATTTGAAAACAATAAGCATTGTACAGAGTGGTAGTAATTTTATATTAAAGTAATTTTTTTTCTCGAAGCCGACGGCCAACAAGTAACAGGACTTACCTAAACGATTAAAGTTAGTACTGTTAAAGTTTGATAGACTTTTTAAAGACACAATTATGCACCATTAACTTTCTGTATAGACCAACAGCTCTGGTCGCGTCTTGTTGCATTACTGGAAAGTGTAATGCATACAAAATAAGTAACAGTTCTATATAGTATTCCTATTTTGTTTGTGATTTTATTTTACTTTGGCTTTTACATATTTTTAATTCTGTGGCGAGACACGTGAAGCAAACGTTAGCTAGTAATAAACCTATATGAAAATAATCACTATATTTCATGTATAGAGCCCCTCGAGGGAGACCATTAAAAAACACAAAAAAAAATAGCATAATTTAATCTGGTACTTACTACGGATTTGAGGAAATTAATTTCAGTAATAACTCGTTATATTAATTTTATATTATGTAATATAGTGTTTTTAATAAACTACCATTAAAATAATGTGACTGATGTCAAAACGTTTAAACTGTCTGTGGTACAATTATTCAAAAAAAAAAAAAAATGTTTACACTTAATCCAACGTCTACGCGAAACGCATTTGGTAAATATTGCTCAATATTTATTATTAACATTAAAAATAATAAATAGCCGTTGTGTTTGCCAGACGGTTTACTAAACAAATTCACTACTGTAAAAATGACTGTTGATAAAAAAAAATATATTATTATTATTAGCATGCCAATTAGTCGTCGCTTGTACTTACCACCGTGATCATTTCTATTATTAATGTTGAAAACAAACGTTAAAAAAAATAAAACTAAAATTTTATAAAATAAAAATATGTCCCATAAATATGTAACACACTTGGAATGGCAAAATGTTTAGAGTTGAGCGCACAGCTGTTATTTGTCCATGTCAAATAAGGTTTCACGTTTAAAAAATATAAAACCGCGAGGGGTCACACTTGGTGGCAGTGGACGTGTTAAATTATTATTAATAATTTTAACTGGCGCTTAAATTGTCTGAAATAAAAAAAAAATGTCTTACACTCAAAGACCACTTCAAAACCGCTACACCGAAAAATGTCTTGTCAATAATCGATAGGTTACTATCTGCGCAAAAAGAAAATAATATTTGTTTTTCAGTCACAATTTCTTTTTTTTTTATCAATACTTAATCACACCGCTTTGTAGATGTGGTTCAAAATTCAAAAGCATTAAATTTTTAATTCACCAGTTGTTCAGAAAATATCCCACCAACCATAATACTTGTTAATTGTTTGATCTGAAATGGGAACCTTCTTTTAGTTTTGTATATACTATACATATTATTCGTATGGAGTTGATTTTTATAGGAGACCTTTTTTTTTATCACAATTATTTTACAAAAGGATTTTGAATAGTATATTCAATTAAAACAGGAAATAGCTCAGTCGTCCCTCTTAAGTAATATATTATGCCCTGTACAATGATTTCTCATCAATAAAACATCACAACTATACAGTGTGGGACACGTGTAACATTATGGTATGACAATCTATCATGTCAGTTTCTAAACAACGTCTCATCTATTATTATTATCGCAGAAGAACCTACCGAGGGGAAAAAATGAATTAATTTCACACAGTTTATTCTACAGAATATATTTTTATTATTATTATTAATATTATATTACGTCCACAGTATCT